CTTCGTACTTAATTTAAGTTTTAAATCATATGGATATGATATAAGAAATATTAGTGGAGTATGATTAAATTTAAGTATTTCAAATGATAACTTCTCTTTTTGTTGCTAATAAACTACAAACAAGTTTTGAGAAGCATGACATTAGTCTAATCAATGATTAAGATAATTACCCAAAATAGTTTAGATTCTCGAACATGAATTTTTCACGAAAATGGGAATGAATGCAAACCAAGACAAAATGAGTTAATACAAAGTACAAAAGGAAAGGGACCAAAAAGGATAAGTATAGAGTCCAAGGAGAGAGACAAGACAAGTGCATGACTTTAACACTGTATGAACCGTAATGCTGGTGAGCTGTACCCTAACACTTCCCAACCCTGTGCATTGTCGAAGTTTCCATGACGTTTTTATTACGTCTAGCGGACTCGGAGCTCTTCGAATCGCAATTACTCACAAACTCACTTTCATTTTCCATTTAATTAATTATTATTATTTTGTAATTTAATAGAAAGTCCATTTACTTCTCCACCGCCCGCCAGCCTCACTCAACTCTGCTTTGCTCTTTAATTTTCTCTCCGTCTTTCCGTCACTTTCGCGAGAAAATCTCAATCATCCATCATGAAGGCCCTCGCGGCCACCGCCACCGACATTCTAAAGACCCCGACTTTCATCAAAATTACGGCCATTACCCTCCTCTCCCTCTCCCTCTTCCTACTCGCCAACCACTACTCTGCTACCTATCCTTCCCTCACCTTCTTCTCCTCTTCCACCACCACAACAACCTCCGCGCCGTCTCCATCTCTCGCCTCGTCTTCGCCGGAGTTGCCTCCGCCGACGCCTCCGGCAGCTCCATCTCCTCCTCCGCCATCGCCTCCTCCACCGCCGGAGGTCGAGAGGATGGGGATAGTGGACGATAACGGCGCGATGTCGGAGGAGTTCGAGATCGGCGAGTTTGACCCGAGCCTGGTCGAGGATTTGAGGAATGTCAGTGGAGGAGAGGAGAGATTGGACGACGGCGGCGGCGTAGGCGGCGGCGGTGCGAGATTCAAGGTTGATAAGTTTGAGGTGTGTGATGAAAGCATGACTGATTATATACCGTGTTTGGATAATGTGGAGGAGATTGAGAAGTTAAATTCGAGAGAGAGAGGGGAAAAGTACGAGAGGCATTGTCCTGGGCAAGGCAAGGGGTTGAATTGCGTGGTGCCGAGGCCGAAAGGGTACCAGATACGAATACAGTGGCCTCAGAGCAGGGACGAGGTAATTTGGATTGAAATGTGTGAACTTTGATTTCTGTTTTTGGTAAAGTTGTTTGCTTTATTTGAATTGGTTTGAGTGTTGCTGTTCCTGATACATTGAATTTTGTTATGTAAGTGAAATTTCAGCAATTGATATCAACTATTAAATTTCAATGATAAAGAGCTAGCTTAGGCATGTCAGGACAGGGGACAAGTGAAGTGGTGTCATTGTTAGTGTAGAAATGTGGGTGGAGACAGAACTTTCGTTGGGAATGGTTTTGAAATTTAGATGGAAGACTTTGAAAAGTGATGATGGCAATATGCTGCTCTCCTTCTCTTAACTTTAAGCTGTAGGATTGGCAGAAGTTGGTCCCTTGTTTTTAGAATGTAAAAAGATGAGAAATAAGGAACCAATAGTTCTGATTTCTTTCTTTTTTTGTTGGTTTTTTTTCATTCATGGTAATCTATTTTCTGAAGCTATATATCCCCAGTTGCTTTCAATGTTACGTAAACTGGTAACAATTGGTAACATCCCTTTGTAGAGCAGTTTTCTGGGTCACTACTGAAAACTCCTTAAAAAAGATTTTTCCTTCTGTAGCTCTTAACGTATAGCATATTACCGTTTCACCTGGTTTGAGAAAGAATGAGTGTTCTTATGTGCTAACAATAGATATGATAACAGGTGTGGTTCAGTAATGTACCCCACACTCGACTTGTTGACGATAAAGGTGGTCAGAATTGGATAAGGGTAAAGAAAGATAAATTCATTTTTCCAGGAGGTGGAACACAGTTTATTCATGGGGCAGATCAGTACTTGAATCAGATTTCACAGGTTTGTCCCTTGCCCAATTCTCATAAAGTATTTGCATGTTTTTACATGATATTGATTACCACCTCTTACATGGACTGAGCAGATGGTTCCTGACATTGCATTTGGCTACAAAACCCGAGTGTCCTTAGATATTGGCTGTGGAGTTGCTAGTTTTGGTGCCTTTTTGATGCAACGGAATGTGACCACTATGTCAATAGCACCAAAAGATGTTCATGAGAATCAGATCCAGTTTGCACTAGAGCGTGGTGTGCCTGCAATGGTGGCAGTATTTGCTACTCACCGCTTGTTGTATCCAAGCCAGGCTTTTGACTTGATCCATTGTTCAAGATGTAGAATTAATTGGACCCGTGATGGTAATCCGTTTCTCTCTTGGACATTTTATGGCATATTCCTACATATGTGTAATGCATTTGATACTTGTTGTCAAAAGCTCTTTGACTCTAAGAATCCTTTTTTTCTTTTGATTATGTGATGAAGATGGAATTTTGCTTCTCGAGGCTGACAGGTTGCTAAGAGCAGGAGGATACTTTGTCTGGGCAGCACAGCCCGTTTACAAACATGAAGAAGCCCTACAAGAACAATGGAAAGGTAGCTCATTATGCAATATTTATTGTAGGTTCACAGCCTGTTTATCTTTCTCTACACTTTGAAAAGTCTGGTCAGATATTTTCTGTATCGTTCTTTTACATTAGCATTAGTGTCATCTTCTCTGATATTTGACAACAACAAAAAATTATTGTTATATTCTTGATGTTGGAGCACTCGAATTAATACTTGTTTATCTATTTACAGAAATGGAGAACCTGACTACTCGCCTTTGTTGGGAGCTTGTAAAGAAGGAAGGATATATTGCTATATGGCAGAAGCCTTTGAACAACAGCTGTTATCTTAGTCGCGATGCTGGAGTGCTGCCTCCATTATGTGATTCAAATGATGATCCAGACGATGTTTGGTAAGTCCTACTTCAAAGTTTAAAGTTTTCTTGGTTTAGAAGCATTCTTCAAATATCAATCCGTGTTAATTGTCAAACTCTTAAAACAGTCTTCTATTCCATCTGATAAGTTATGTAACTTTTGACTTTATGGTTTCATTTCAATAGTTTGTCTATGTTGTTCTGTTGGACCCTTGTCCTGTTGACTTGGTGACCATAATCTTGCATATTTCCCGAGGGGCAATGCAACCTTGTGTCATGTGGCATTAAGGGAGAGTTGATTTAAATTTGCTCGACACAAAAGGCTTTCGGCATGTATAAAAAGCTTTTGGAGGAAAAAAAAATGTCAAAACATGATGATTTATCTAACTTGATTGAACTTTACATCTGAAGCTAACACTTTGAATATGAGGTCTTCTCCACGCACATACACAAGGCTGAAGAATTTAACAAGAATATTGTAATAATGCTTCTTCTAGTCTCATTGTTGGTTATACTCCATCCAAATTTGATATCTCACCACAAGATCACAAGGCCTACCTAGATGCAGAGTATGAAATAAAGTATACATATATCATAACCACTGTAACCCTAAGTAATACTTTTTTTTTGCAGGTATGTTGGTTTAAAGGCTTGCATCACTCGATTACCTGAGAATGGTTATGGAGCTAATGTTAGTACATGGCCCGCATGTCTTCAAGATCCACCAGATAGACTCCAGAGCATAAAGCTAGATGCGTACATATCTAGAAAGGAAATCTTCAGGGCAGAGGCAAAGTACTGGCATGAAATATTAGCTGGTTACATTGGTGCTTACCATTGGAGAGAATTAAACTTTAGAAACATAATGGACATGAGGGCTGGATATGGAGGGTATATCTTCAAATAATTCATTTACACAAACCATAAATCTTTACCTATTTTCAATGTTATTTCAACTTGCAAAAGAAAGAGATGGAAATCATTTTTATATTGGCAGGTTTGCAGCAGCATTGCAAGATTATGGGTTGGATTGTTGGGTTATGAACGTTGTTCCTGTTTCAGGGTTCAATACTTTGCCAGTTATATATGACCGCGGACTTATTGGAGTTATGCATGACTGGTTGGGCAATACACCTTCTGATTTCTGTTTTTGACCATCTATGTGTTACTAAATCTGTTGGACTTTGTCATGATGCTCAAATTTATGTTCCTTAGGTGTGAACCATTTGACACTTATCCGAGAACATACGACTTACTGCATGCAGCGGGTCTCTTCTCTGTTGAGCAAAAGAGGTATAAATTTGCACTGTTGTTTGAGCCTATTTTATCTATTTGTAGGTGAGACTTCATGTGATGTAGAGTACATTGATTTCCTACTGATCTGTTTGTGTTGTGCACAGGTGTAATATCTCAACCATCGTGCTTGAAATGGATCGAATGCTGAGGCCTGGCGGACGTGTTTACATACGTGACTCTATATCTGTAATTTCTGAGCTTCAAGAACTTGCAAGTGCTGTTGGATGGGTGCCTGCGCTGCATGACACAGGAGAAGGACCTCATGCAAGCTGGAAGATCTTGATTGGTGACAAGCGTTTGTGATCTCATTTGGGTGCAAACTTGTCGATGTATTTTTCTGTAAAAGGGTATGAAATCGCACCATAGAAAAGAAGGCACTACAACAGCAACTAACATATTGCACTTGTTTTATGCTCTGTAATTTTGAAGACTAGCTAGTGCAATCTCTTTTTTCATTTTTTATATATTTTTTTCTTAGTATATCCAAATGCACAGCAATAGGATGGTTAAATGTGCATAACTTAACACTAATACCGTGATATTATAAAGTGTTGTTTTTGTAACCTTTGTTCCTAAAATTTGCGCACAACACAGGCTTGATGGCCTTCATTCAATAGACTTAACCAAAACCCATAATCATTTCCCTCTTTGAAAACCTATGGCAATGGCAACAGTGGCGGGGATGGCGGAGGGTATTCGGGCCACCCGATTTGATGAAGGCCGTTGAAGTAGTTATTGAAAATGAGGGTTTGGTTTCATCGTACAACGTTGTGAAGATCACTTGAAATGCATCAAACTGCACTTTATTCCTCACGCAACCGATAATATCTTATGGGCTGTGGATATACACAAGTAACTGAGGAATGAACCTCGACTGCTGCTAACCTTAAACTCCGCAGAAGCAGAACCCTTGTGCTCTGCTGCAGCCTGTATTGAGAGAGAAGCTTCATGGATTTCGAAAACTGAAAAATTGCACACATCGTATGCAGTTTAGGGAGAGATAAGCTGATTCAGTCAATCCGGAACCTCTTCAATGTACATTCCTCCCCAATTATATTTGGGAGGATACGAAGCCGAAGAACCCTTCTGTGCTGCTGCTTTATTAACCTGTTTGGAGAGATAAGCTTCATAGATTTCGAATAAAAGTTGTGGATCTTTCTCCTTCAGCTCATTGTACTCCTCCCGGGCAGTAAGCTTGTCCATGTTGTCTATGATCAACGTCAAGGCTGCGTCGATGACCTTCTTGGCGTTATGCTGGTGCACGAAGGTGTAGGTCGAAAAAGAATTCTCCCAGTTGAGGTTGGCCACCAAGAACTTCTGGCACAAATCTTTGAGATGGTGCACCTGGTATTTTTCAGCCATTACAAGGAGGTCACAGGCCAATTGCTGGTCAAGGCATACCACCTCAGCTGTGTAGAGGTAGTTGACAAAGGCACGAAGGGTGCCGTAGGACACATCGCGGATCTTGATGGTGCCACTCAAGCTTTCTTCCATCTCATTCTCAAGCATGGCATTGAACACCGGAGAACGGCTCACCTGATCCAGTGCCGGTCAAAATACATACATAATATTTAAGAGGAATTCAAAGTGTGCAATAATAATATTTTCCCAGGAACATATTAATTTTGTGAACAGTACTAGTAGGTGACCAGGGGAGAGAAAATGAACCTAGACAAATTAAAAAAAGAAAAAGGACTAGAATTGTTAGAGAACCAAAGCATTATACGGGAGCCAAATAATTATAATAATGTTCTCGAAGCACAGAAAATTCCTCCCCACGTTCATTCATAGTATGTTGGAACTTCTTGAGAGAGGGATTAGTATTCATGGTTGTTTATGGTGGTGAAGAATTTCCAGGGTCATTTAAGTACCTACGTAGAAGGCTGTTATTTGGTGTGAAGACTTAAACTTGGCATTGGTGTGGTCAAAGGTGAGTCTTTCGTTTGGTTTGTTCTTAGAATTTGGCTAAGTTGTTGTCTTTATTCGTTTACAAGTTGGGGCGGTTGGATTTTGTTTTTGGAGTATGATCTTAGGTAGGTAATACATGGTGATTTTGATACCTGTTGAGTAGGTGATAAAAGACAATCGCGTGCAAGTATTTATTATTCCTCCAATGTAGGTAAATGGGTTGGATTTTTGGTTTCTACTAGTTAGGTAATGAAATTTTTAGTAAGTAAATTTGGATGTGTTTAGTTTGATCACTGTATAAGAGGCAATGCCACATATATAGATAAGTTGTTTTTTGTATTTATATCCCATTTTCAGGTAAAATTCTGCATATTTATAGGTAATTGTTGTCTGGTATGTATTTACCTCAAATGAAGGTCAATTATTCCCTCGACCAATTTTTTCTTGTTGTAGGTGGATTATGAAGACAATAAAAAAATGAAATATAAATACTCTAGATCAAAAGAAGAAAACACCTAAATCAAACCTTTTGGGCACGGATCTAAAGAAGACCCCATCCTTATTGTGAAACAAACAAAATTAAAGTAAAGCTATCAAAATGTTTGAACAAAAATCAGCGATGGAGCAGAAAGTTGGCGAAATGTGTACTGACCAAAACGGCCTTATGGGCCGGAACGGGTACAGCCGCCTGGGCATACCCACCGTCGGGGGCAAACAGAACGACGTCGGAGAAGGAATCTGGCTGGGACGTCGTGAGAAAAGCGACCTTGGCCTTGAGGTCCTCGTGGCACTTCTTGAGGTCCTCGTGGCACTTCTTTCAGGTGCCGGCGTCGTATCTGCCATTGCAAGATATGCCCCTCATGTTGGGTTGGGGTTCTCAAAGATAAATAACAGCAAGAGAAGAAGTTTTAAGGCAAATGTAATTTCATCAATTGATCAGTTGTGCTGCCTCCCCTGCCTTATTATGGTACGTAGTTTCCTTTGTCTGGAAGTAGTCCGCCACTTTTCTTTTCTTTTCTTCTTCTATGTTTAAGTTCCTTGCTTGCTCTAATATCATTCGTATAAAAATAAATATGGACAATGTTGCCCTTTAACTGTTAGTAGATTTTGACAGATATTATATTAGAATACTTGTTTATCTATTTACAGAAATGGAGAACCTGACTACTCGCCTTTGTTGGGAGCTTGTAAGGAAGGAAGAATATATTGTAGGAAGTTTGAAAGCAAATTATTATCCAACATCGGAGGAAACAAATGGTTTTACATGCTTCATAGGTTTCGAATATGAGTCGTGGATCTTTCTCCTTCAGCTCAGCGTACTCCTCCCCGGTAGTAAGCTTGTCCATGTTGTCTGTGATCAACGTCAAGGCTAGGTTGATGATCTGCTTGGCGTTATGCTGATGCACGAAGGTGTAGGTTGAAAGTGAATTGTTCCAGTTGAGGTTGGACACCAAGAACTTCTGGCACAAGTCTTTGAGATGCTGCGCCTGGTATTTGTCAGCCATTACTAGTAGATCACAGGCCAATTGCTGGTCAAGGCATACCACCTCTGCTGTGTAGAGGTAGTTGACAAAAGCACGAAGGGTGCCGTAGGACACATCGACTGTCTTGATGGTGCCACTCAGACTTTCTTCCATCTCATTGTCAAACATGGCGCTGAACACCGTAGAACAGCTCAGCTGATTGAGTACCCGCCAAAACACATGTTCAAAAGAATTCAAAGCGTGCATTTTTACGAACAAATTCAGCTAGAATTACATTTCCCAGGATCATATGATCATCCACAAACATTAAAGGGATTATGATGCTCAACTCATAGCAAGTTTTGCGTAATGCCTTATGATGATGAATGAGAAATGATGAACCCCGAGGACCAAGGCATTAATTAGAACAACAATACTTCAACACGAAAATGTTAATGCAACCAAGGATTGAAATATCAGCCGATACACCGATATATCTGCCGATATATTGATATTTTCAACTGTCGACACTGATACTGGGGGGTGAGGCCATATCTTCCCCTGTTTCAACGATATATCCCCGATAAGTGCGATATCCCCGATATTTTGTCGATATCCCCGATATTTCCCGATATCCATAACAGAACCCAAAAAAAATTCAGAAGTTTTGAAGGCAATTAAAGCAAATTGAAACCAAAAAATAGCTAATTCTTGCCTAGAACCCTATAATTTATTATGAAGAATCTATGCACAATCCACTGCCCACATACCTCCAATCCATCTGAAGATGACATGGCGATCAGTTTTGGATATATGAGCATAGGAACTAGACCTAGTACTAATTCAAATGAATCTTATGATGACTATGGTTATGTCATGTCTGATTATAGTGGAACTAGTTATGGAGCTCAAGATGATAAAATAGATTATGGACCTACTAGTTGGTTAATCCTAACTATCCCATATATGGGAGGACAATAGGGAGCTCAAGAGAGACCTATGTGCTCCATATTCAAACATGGCTTAAAAACTGCTCTAGTTACATGACTTGGTATGACTATTATATGAATCTAGATGGTTGTTCGTCATTATTTGAACCTCATAGGAGCTCTTCATTTATGTCGATGGATACTTATCTAAATTGTAATCCAATGTTTAAATAAACTATGGCTTTATGCATGGTTTATTTATTCTAATTAACATTTTATTTTCAAACTTTTCATTAACACGCATTACATACCACTTGTATTTAATCATTTGTTCAATACATTCATTAATAATGTACATAACATCTATTAAAGTTTTACACCAAAATTATGTGTTTCAATGCATATATATGTCATTTTTGTTGATTTTTTCCCGATACCTAAAACGATAACGATATATCCCCCGAAATATCCGTAAATTGGTGGCCTGATATTATCTGCAAGGCGGATATTTTAATCCTTGCCCCCAGCAGCAAAATAGCTAGCTATAACTACTCCTAACCTAAGTCATTTTTAGCTAAAAGTCTTCCCAAAACATTCCTCCAGCAGACTATATATTGATGAACAAGTAAAACCACAATATATTTGATCAAAACACAAGAATTTTTCAGGAAAAATCACGCGTCCGATAGTATCATAAATCGAGTCAATGCAGAGGAAATGAATACATTTCTATACTATTTAGTAAGTGAAATATATAAAACATAATCCGGATTATGCCAATCACTTATTCTACTGGATCGGATCTTACGGAGCCTGTTCATATCATACACGACATGATCGGGTCTGATCATAGAAAAGATTCTCTTCAAACGAACCGGCCTATCTTCTGTATGGGGCTTACGCGGTGGTTGGAACAAAGACACATTTTTTGTTGTGAATTAAAATGTGGCAGATAGATAAGGGCATACATCTGCAAGGCCCGATCAATAGTTCAAGTCACACACTCCCATAATCCATTTTATCTTCGGAAAATTCGCTTCAACTATGAGTGTCAAAAAAATAATACATTTTTGTAGAGTTGAAGAGAAATATCCCAATACATGTCTTATTCTTTTCAATAATCCATATTTGTAGCAATGAAATACTATTGTTCCTACCCCAAGTGATAAATGATTGATTACAGATGGTATATATTCTTTATAAAGGACCAGAAATACCTTGCTTACGTATCATTGGGAAGTGCATTAACATAAATACGGCAGTAAGAAGAGGTAATACAAAAGTGTGTAAACTATAAAAACGAGTCAAAGTGGATTGTCCCACACTAGCACTTCCGCGTAATAACTCTACCAGGGGCGAGCCTATTACAGGAATAGCGTCTGGTACGCCTGTTACAATTTTTACTGCCCAATAACCAATTTGGTCCCGAGGTAAGGAATAACCAGTTACACCAAAAGATGCGGTCAATACACCCAAAACCACACCTGTAACCCAAGTCAATTCGCGAGGTTTTTTAAAGCCACCGGTTAGATACACACGAAATACGTGCAGGATCATCATTAGGACCATCATACTTGCCGACCATCGATGAACCGATCGGATTAACCAACCAAAATTAGCTTCAGTCATTATATATTGAACAGAAGCAAAAGCCTCTGTAACGGTCGGACGATAATAAAAAGTCATAGCAAACCCTGTAGCTACTTGTACTAAAAAACAAGTAAGCGTAATTCCTCCTAGACAATAAAATATGTTGACGTGAGGAGGAACATATTTACTAGTTATATCATCGGCAATTGCCTGAATCTCAAGACGTTCTTCGAACCAATCATAGATTTTATTGAGATAGGTAAATCACGGAGACTCCCCCCCGGAGAACCGTATATGAAAATTTCATCTCATACGGCTCAAACAGAAACACACAAATACTAGTTCTAACGGATGTGTGTAATAGAAAGTTTTAAATTTCTTAATTCTATGATTCATTTTTTCTGAAGATACGAAAGAATAAAAATCCGAAAACTCCTCTTTGTGGTTATAATGCCAAAAAATCAAGTCGGCTCATTCGTCTATATATTGATCGTTATAGGCCTCTTGAATCTTCTATTTACCTATTTTATTTGTTGTTATTTATGTGTAGTGCGGCTTTACTGCTGTTTTCTTTATTATTGATAGGAATTATCTTGTTAAGACCCTATTAATTGATTAAAACCTCAGATTCATACTAGAACCACGATGATTCAATAAAACCCTTTCAAACTAAGTCCCAAAATTCCCTGAGTAAGAACCGTTGGATCATCACTTATTCAATGAATAGATATAATGACTAAAAATCCAAAGAAACCTTTGTCCTTTGATCAAAATAAGCCTAAACGAAAGTTTAGTTTGAAAAAAAAAAAAAAAATTTCGAAGTCCGGCCACGAGGTCTAACTATTAAGTATGAATCATAGTTCTAATACTTTGTAATCTATTTCATATATATATTCCGTGCTCCAGATACTAGAATGAATATCCGACGAAGTAAAACCATCTCTATCAAGATGACAGACCCATTCTCTGTACTATCCATAGTGGCACTGCTTGCAAGTGCCGGTCATCTTCGTTGTATTTTCCTTGGCAAGATATATGCACTTGTTCATGTTGGGGTGCTCAAAGATAAATAACCAGAGAAGAAATTGTAAGAAAATGTGATTACATCCATTGATCAGTTGTGCTACCCCTTAGAGCATGCACAATGGTTGCTCAATAGTTGATTTCAGTTAAGTTCAAAATTTAAATTTATTGAACTTTTTTGGCAGCTGTTGAACTGAACTGTAGTTTCACTTGCAGCGGTGTAGTTCAATAATTAACACTTCATACCATGATATTATGAAGTGTTGTTTTTGTAATCTTTGTTCCTAAAATTTACGGAAAACACAGGCTTGATGGCCTTCATTCAATAGACTTAACCAAAAGCCAATAGGGAAAACAAAAAAGGAAATCCTTAAAGAAACCTATAATCATTTCCCTCTTTGAAAACTTATGGCAACGGCAACAGTGGAGGGGATGGCAGAGGGTATTTGGGCCACCGGATTTGATGAAGGTCGTAGGAGTAGTTATTGAAAATGATGGCTTGGTTTCATAGTATAAGGTTGTGAAGATCACTTGAAATGCATCAAACTGCACTTTATTCCTCACACAACCGATAATATCTTATGGGTTGTGGATATACACAAGTAACTGAGGAATGAACCTCAGCTGCTGCAGTTTTAACCTTAAACTCCGCAGAACCTTTTTGCGCTGCTGCAACCTGTTTGGTGTGATAAGCTTCATAGATTTTGAAAACTGAAAAATTGCACACATAATATGCAGTCGCGACAACAAACAGTCATCATTCTTATTCATACTCACTTAGAACCTCATAATCTTTAATGGACATTCCTCTCCAATTATAGGAAGATAAGAAGCCGAAGAAGACTGCTAAAATATGAGAACTGTGTGAGAATATTTATTTGTGAAATTTTTTTGTGTATTCTTCTCTTTGTATGAGGTCATATAACGGAACTTTAATGGACAAGTAAATAATAAATTTTTATTTCTATTTACAGTAGGAAATCAGGAATTAAAGTAAATCAAATATAATTATAATGAGAATCCTTGGTTTGTAAGGAAAGAAAGTCCATGGTCCACAAGTCACGCCAACACTCCCCCTCACGTTGGTGCATAGATGTCGCTAATGCCCAACTGGTCTACTGAATTGTGGAATGATTTACTGAAAATTGCCTTTGTCAAAATATCCACCAATTGATCCTCGTACTTTACGAAAGGAAACTGAATCCTTTTAGCTTCGAGCTTCTGTTTGATATAGTGTCGATCTACCTCAACATGTTTGGTGTGATCATGTTGAACTGGATTCTGTGCAATACCTATTGTAGCCTTGTTGTCACAAGAGAGATTCATTATAGAGGTAGGTCTATACCCAAGTTCAGTAAACAACCTCTTTAACCAAATGAGTTCACAAATTCTTTTGATGAGGCGCCTACCTTCTTTTTCTTACTTCTCCATATAACCAAATTACCTCCGAAGAATGTGAAGTAACAAAATGTGGATTTCCTATCTGTTATACTTCCTGCCTAATCTGCATATGTGTAACCATCAATATTCAGATGATCATGTTTTGAGAACATAAGTCCTTTTCCGGGTGCAGACTTCAAATATCTAAGTATCCGAATAACTACATTCATGTGGTCTTCACTCGGAGAATGCATAAATTGACTGACGACGCTCACCATATAAGTAATGTCTAGCCGAGTATGAGACAAGTATATCAATCTTCCCACAACCTTTGGTATCTTTCTTTGTTAGTTGGAACTTGATCCGGGTATTCTCCAAGATGATGATTCTGAACAATATGAGTGTCTACAGGTTTGCAATCTAGCATTCTTGTGTTTCTTAACGAGTCCAAAACATATTTCCTTTTAGAGAGAAATATGCTTTGTTGTGGTCGGGTTACCTCAATCTCTAAGAAATAATTGAGTCCACCTATTTTCTTCATCTCAAATTCAGTAGCCAAATAGTCTTGTAGCTGAGATATTTCATGTTTATAATTCCCAGTAATAATCATGTCGTCAACATAGATTATTGAAGCTATTACATTCCATTTATGATGTTTCAAGAACAAAGTATGATTTGAGTTACTCTGTCTGAAACCATTGTTCTTCATTGCCATGGTGAATTGTCCAAACCATGCACGTGGTGACTGTTTCAATCTATACAATGCCTTTCATAATTTGCATACTGTTCCAGTATGAGTAGTATTATATCTATGAGGAATGTCTATATACATCTCATCTGTGAGTTCTCCATGTAGGAAGACATTCTTTACATCAAACTATTATAGTGGCCTGTTCAAATTAGTTGCGATTGACAGTAAGACTCTGGCTGTATTCAATTTTGCAACTAGTGTAAAAGTTTCTTCAAAATCTACACCATAAGTCTATGTGTACCCTTTCGCCACCAAGGATTAAAAATAAGGATTAAAATATCGGCTGTGCAGATAATATTGAGCCTCTAATTTACGGATATTTTGGGGGATATATCGTTATCATTTTAGGTATCAGGAAAAAATCAACAAAAATGACAGATATATGCATTGAAACACATAATTTTGGTGTAAAACTTTCATAGATATTATGTACATTATTAATGAATGTATTGAACAAATGATTAAATACAAGTGGTATGTAATGCGTGTTAATGAAAAGTTTGAAAATAAAATGTTAATTAGAATGAATAAACCATGTATAAAGCCATAGTTTGTTTAAACATTGGATTACAATTTAGATAAGTGTCCATCTACATAAATGAAGAGCTCCTATAAGGTTCAAATAATGACGAACAACAATCTAGATTCATACAATAGTCATACCAAGTCATGTAACTAGAGCAGTTTGTAAGCCATGTTTGAACATGGTGCACATAGGTCTCTCTTGAACTCCACATTATCCTCCCATATATGGGATAGTTAGGATTAACCAACTAGTAGGTCCATAACTAGTTCCACTATAATCAGACATGACATAACCATAGCCATCATAAGATTTATTTGAATTAGTACTAGGTCTAGTGTCTATGCTCATATATCTAAAACTGATCGCCATGTCCTCTTCAGATAAATTAGAGGTATGTGGGCAGTGGACTGTGTATAGATTCTTCATATTAATAAATTATAGGGTTTTAGGCAAGGATTAGCTATTTTTGGGTTTCAATTTGATTCAATTGCCTTTAAAACTTTTGAATTTTTTTTGGGTTCTGTTATGGGTATCGAGAAATATCGGGGATATCGGCAAAATATCGGGGATATCACACTTATCGGGGATATATCGTTGAAACAGGGGAAGATATGGCCTTACCCCTAGTATCAGTGTCGACAGTTGAAAATATCGATATATCGGCAGATATATCGGTGTATCGGCCGATATTTCAATCTTTGTTCGCCACAAGGTTTGCATCGTATCGCTCAATAGATCCATCAACGTTGTGTTTTATGGTAAACACTCATCTACATCTTACAATAATTTTTCCTCATGGTAAAGTTTCTAGTGTCCAAGTCTGATTCTTCTCAAGATCTTTCATCTCTTCCTTTATAGCTTGAACCCACTTAGGATCTTTAATGCTTCGGTAACCTTGGATGGGATATGAATAGCAGACAACTGATGCACAAAGGCCTTGAGTGGTTCAGACATCTTCTCAGTGGATACATGATTCACAATTGGATACTTTGATGTCTTGCCAATATCAGCTGAATAACGATTTGGTGGCTTTCCATGATTCTGCTTGAATGATAATTAGTATCCAATAAATTTATCATATAAATTCACAAGTGTAGTAAGAGTAGTTACCTCAAGGATTTTTTCAGGAGATTGGTCTATTGGTACCATTGAGTTAGAGGGGGGTCTTCATCTTGTTGTTATGTATTTTCTGTAGGTATTAGACTCGGATCAGAAACATCTTCGCATGGATCAGGTGGGTCAGGCGATTGATCACTATGAATGGGTGATTGATCATTTTTCGGCAGAGAGTAATCTCGTACTCCAGACTTAGGACGATCGATCATTTATGTACATAGGAGAATTTCTTAGTTTTCCAAGTTGCTCTAATTCTGCTCTTCACTTCGTATCTCCCCCTAAAGCGTAGAATTGGATGATGGGTCATGGAAGAATAGCTCAGATTCCAGAAAGGTTACATCCAAAGTGACATAAGTACGTCGGGTAGAAGGGTGATAACAACGATAGCCTTTCTGATGAGTGACATAACCCACAAAACACAACGAAGAGCACATGGATCAAGTTTGCTATGTTGATTTTTGTAGAGAAAAAAGAAAGTCATACATCCAAAGATTCTGGGTATGAGTACCAAAACAAAGGGAAGAGGTCTGTGTTGCTCAAGCACTTGTAAGGAAGTGTTAAAAGTCAATACACCAGAAGACATGAGGTTGATCAGGTGAACTATGATGACAATATCATCATCCCAGTGATGGCGAGGAACATGAGTGCCAATCAGAAGTTCTTGGGCGGTTTCAAGAAGATGTCAATTCTTTCGTTCAGCAACACCATTTTGTTATGGTGTTTGAGGACAAGTCATCTCATGGATAATTCCATGTTGTTTGAAGTAAGCTTGAAAGTCATGATTGAAAAATTCTCCACCATTATCTGAGCAAAAAATCTGGATTTCAGCATTGAATTGAGTTTTCATCTGTTTGTAGAAGGACTGAAAACAGGAAAACACTTCCGTGTATAATCATCATCTTGATTTGAACAAATATAGTCATGTCATTGGTGTATAATTATCTATGAATGTGACAAACCACCAAACACCAAAAGAAGCAGTGATAGGTGAAGGTCCCCATACATCAAAGTGAATTACGTAAATGAAATAATACACTTGTTCGTACTCAACGGATAGGGCATACGGTGACTCTTCGCCAAAATATAAGTATCACATGTGAAGTTGGAGTCTTTGAAACCTGAGAATAAATATGGTATAAGATTCTTCATATAACTAAAAGACGGATGTCCCAATCGACGGTGCCATAACCAGATTTGCTTTTGCTTGCTATCAAAGAGATGCATCACATTGTTGGCTATGCCGGGACTAAAGTCATCTACATAATATAGCCCCATCTCTTAGTACCATGACCAAAAATCTCCTTAGTGTGAATATCTTGAAGCAAAGAAAAACTAGGGTAAATGAATACAAAATAATTCAATTGTTCAGTAAGATGACTAACTGACATCAATTTATTCGATAAAGATAGAACAAGTAAAGTATTAGACAGTGAGAGAGAGGATGAAAGTGTAACAGTGCCAGCCCCTGTCACAAGAAAAGTAACTCCATTTACATTAGCAATACAAGTTCGTCGGGGTTGCGTAGTATTCAGAAAATCATCTGGATCAAACATCATATAATCAGTTGCACCGAAATCAATTATCCAGCTCGGGGAATCACTCTTATTCGAAGTATGGAATCCATAATCAGTATCATTATGGGTCGTATGGGGTTGTGTTCGATCTTTGAGAGTAGCCCACCATTCTGCGTAGCCATGCAATTTAAAACAAGTCTCACGAGTGAGTCTCGGATCACCACAGTATGCGCAATCTCATCCATGTATTAGGGTCGTTAGTTGGGAAGTCATAATTTGTGCAGCGAAAGATGAATAGGATACAAGTTTAGTAGGAATCCGAATTAGGATCTGAGTTTGAGTCGAGGTCGGAGTCGAAGTTGGGATTTGTGTTTGAATCATAGATAGATTAGAGGTCATCATTGGAGTCAGGGTCGTCATCATCATAGTCAGGGTCGGGGTCGTTGTCATCATAGTTGGGGTCGGGGTCGTCAAAATAGGATCCTGATTCAGGATCGGGTTCGGGGTCGAAGTCTGCATCTATAGGAGCTGAGCCACCTGCTCACTCAACTCGGCTATGGTGATTGAGAAGGAGAGAATGAGTCAGTAGTGCTACCTCCACGAGGGTTGAAAAAATCATCAACCCATAGCGGCGACAGGGGTTGGAAACTAAAGTCTGATACCATGCTAAAATAGGAGAACTATGAGAGAATATTTGTTAGTGAGAATTTTTTGTGTATTATTTTCCTTGTAAGAGGTCATATTTATAATATAACGGAACTTTAATAGGCAAGTAAATAATAAATTCATATTTCTATTTATAATAGGAAATCATGAATTAAAGTAAATCAAATATAATTATAATGGGAATCTTGCGACGAGTCCTTCTACTTTATTAACCAGTTTGGAGAGATAAGCTACGTAGATTTCAAGTATAAGTATTGGATATTTCTCCTTCAGCTCAGCGTACTCCTCCCTGGCAGTAAGCTTGTCCATGTTGTTTGTGATCAAAGTCAAGGCTGCGTCGATGATCGGCTTAGCGTTATGCTGGTGCGCAAAGGTGTAGGTCGAAAGCGAATTGTCCAAGTTGAGGTTGGACACCAAGAACTTCTCGCAACAGTTCTTGAGATGCTGCACTTGGTATTTTTTAGCCAATACAAAGAGGTCACAGGCTAATTGCTGGTAAATGCATACCACCTCAGATGTGTAGAGGTAGTTGACAAAGGCATGAAGGGTGCCGTAGGACACATCGCAGATCTTGATGGTGCCACTCAGGCTTTCTTCCATCTCATTCTCAAGCATGGCATTGAACACCGGAGAACGGCTCACCTGATCCAGTGCCCGTCAAAATACATACATAATATCTAAGAGGAATTCAAAGTGTGCAATAATAATATTTTCCCAGGAACATATTAATTTTGTGAACAGTACTAGTAGCTGGCCAGGGGAGAGAAAATGACCCTAGCCAAATTATTCCAATAGTACAATTTCTGTATGGCCAAATCTTTTTGAAATTCAAAGGTACCTAAAAAAAAAATTAATTAATTTAAAGGATAATTAAATGTTGAAGATTAACAAAAAAAAAAAGACTAGAATTGTTGGAGAACCAACGCATTATACTGGAGCCAAGTAATTATAAGAGATATTTAGTCATATATCCATTTTTAGCACTAGAACTATAAATAAACCATACACCATTTAATTTCTATAAACAAACAAAAAAAAACTCAAAAAAGAACAGCTGGCTCTATTGAATTTAATTTTAATTATTAAATTACTTTGATACCCCATTGAGTATTTTGGGCTTTTTTATGAGGTTTTTGGATTGAGTTTGTTTTAAGAAATCAATGGCAGTTTTGTAATTTTTAAAAGTCTTTTTGTTATGTTGTAAATGAGTTTTGGGTGTGTTTCTAAAGTCCATTTCATATAGGGTTTTATTTTTTATTTTTTATTTTTTATTAATAATTTGGGCTCTTATATTGGGTATTATAGTGAATCTCTCTAATTATAATAACCCTTATCCATTTCAAGTCAAATTTAGCTAAGTTTTGGCTAACTTTGCCAGCGAGTCTGGGAATGAAGATGTAAAACCACAATATATTTGACTAAAATACTTGAATTCAAGAAAAAGATAAAAGATAAAATACTCCATATGACAAATCACATTTATTAATAAATCATTCCTCCATTAAAAACACGTTTTTACGTGTTAAATTTTGATTTGCAAATACAGAGGTGTAAAAATAAAGTTGTAGACATGTTACAATGTGCCCTCCCTTGTACTCAAGTTTGATCCCCCTCTTTAAAAGATATAGAAAATTAAAAAATTAGATATAAACCCAAAGGAGAGAGAAATTTTGTAAAACAAGCCAAAATAGACAAAATTGCCCTTATTTATTTTTGGATTTCCTAAGAAATCATTTACATTTGCATGTCTTTGATTTGAAAGTTGAGAGGTTTTTCTGTCTTTTTTGAAAAAGCTTTGGCTTTTTCCAAAAGTGAAAATTTTTTTTTGACTAAAAACCTAAATTTACTTTATTTTTTTATTCACCCCCAGCAAACTTACCATACTGAGATGATAAGTCAACTACTATTTATGGTTTGGATTTGTCAAAAATATTTATGCCTATTTTACCCGATACAACTTTTTATTTTATCAACCCTTATATGATTTAATGTTATCTCTAGGAATAAAAATGGGAAACAAATTTAGGTCAAAAATTATTGTGTTGAACTTTTTGAGAGAGGGATTATTCACAGTGTTCATGGTTGTTTATGGTGGTAAAGAATTTCCAGGGTCATTTAAGTACCTACGTAGAGGGCTGTTATGTGGTGTGAAGGCTTAAATTTGGCATTGGTGTGTTTAAAGGCGGGTCTTACGTTTGGTTTGTTCTTAGAATTTGGCAAGTTGTTGTCTTCATCTGTTTACAAGTTTGGGGCGGTTGAATTTTTGTTTTTGGAGTATGATCTTAGGTATATGGGTAATACATGGTGGTTTTGATACCTGTTGTGGAGGTGGATTATGAAGACAATCCAGAGTTTTAAATTCAAAATTTAAATTAGTAGTAAAAGATTCATAAAATCAGAATTTTCATCTTCTTGCCAAATTTATTTCAAAGGGCAATGGACATAAAAAATGAGATATGAATACTAGCTAGTGAGCCTAGATCAAAAGAAGAAAACACCTAAATAAAACCTTTTGGGCACGGATCTAAAGAAGACCCCATCTTTATTGTGAAACAAACAAAATTAAAGTGAAGCTATCAAAATATTTGAACAAAAATCAGCGATGGAGTAGAAAGTTGGCGAAATGTGTACTGACCAAAACGGCCTTATGGGCCGGAACGGGTATAGCGGCCTGGGCAGGCCCGCCGTCAGAGGCAAACAGAACGACGTCGGAGAAGGAATCTGGCTGGGACGTCGTGAGAAAAGCGACCTTGGCCTTGAGGTCCTTGTGGCACTTCTTGATGTCCTCATTGCACTTCTTGCAGGTGCCGGCGTCGTATCTGGCATTGCAAGATATGCACTTCTTGAGGTCATCATCATCTTCAATGTACATTTCTCGATATGGGTTGAATGAAAAGTTAGGTACACGTTTAAGGGGCAAATCACCAGTATAACCCTTCTGTGCTGCTGCTTTATTAACCTGTTTGGAGAGATAAGCTTCATAGATTTCAAATACAAGTTGTGGATCCTTCTCCTTCAGCTCAGCGTACTCCTCCCGGGCAGTAAGCTTGTCCATGTTGTCTATGATCAACGTCAAGGCTGCGTCGATGACCTTCTTGGCGTTATGCTGGTGCACGAAGGTGTAGGTCGAAAAAGAATTCTCCCAGTTGAGGTTGGCCACCAAGAACTTCTGGCACAAATCTTTGAGATGGTGCACCTGGTATTTTTCAGCCATTACAAGGAGGTCACAGGCCAATTGCTGGTCAAGGCATACCACCTCAGTTGTGTAGAGGTAGTTGACAAAGGCACGAAGTGTGCCGTAGGACACATCGCGGATCTTGATGGTGCCACTCAGGCTTTCTTCCATCTCATTCTCAAGTATGGCATTGAACACCGGAGAACGGCTCACCTGATCCAATGCCGTCGAAATACATACATAATATTTAAGAGGAATTCAAAGTGTGCAATAATAATAATATTTTCCCAGGAACATATTAATTTTGTGAACAGTACTAGTAGCTGACCAGGGGAGAGAAAATGGAGAAATTTTTATATGTTCCAGGTACACCACGTGACTGGTGTACCATCCAATAAACATAGGACATGTGGAATTATTGTTTAACTTACTGCATTTCTTTTTATAACATGTGGCGGGCTGCATTGCAAATATTCCATGTCTTCCGTCTATTGGATGGTACACCAACCACGTGGTATACTCGAAACACCCAAAAATTACTCGAGAAAATGACCCTAGCCAAATTATTCGAATATTACAATTTATGTATGGCCAAATCTTTTTTAAATTCAAAGGTCCCTCAAATTTTTTATATTTTAAAAAGGATAATTAAATATTAAAGATTAACACACCCAAAAAAAAAAAAAGTACTAGAATTGTTGAAGAACCAAAGCATTATACGGGAGCCAAGTAATTATATTAACCCTTTAGCCATTTCAAGTCAAATTTGGCTAACTTTGCCGGCGAGTCTGGGAATGATTGAAGACGTAAAACCACAATATATTTGACTAAAATACTTGAATTCATGAAAAAGATAAAAGATAAAATACTCAGACGACAAATCACCTTTACTGAAAAATCATTTCTCCGTTAAAAATATGTTTTTACGTGTCAAATTTTGATTTGCAAATATAGAGGTGTAAAAGTAAAGTTGCAGACCTGTTATAATGTGCCCTCCCCTGTACTCAAGTTTGATCCCCCTCTTTAAACAATATAAAAAATTAAAAAAATTGGATATAAACCCAAAAGTAATAGGTTTATTACGAATAACCCACGTGTTATAATATTTCAATATAAACCCATTGGTTATTATTCACCCTAGCAAACTTACCGTACTGAGATGATAAGGAATTTCCAGGGTCATTTAAGTACCTACGTAGAGGGCTGTTATTTGGTGTGAAGACTTAAACTTGGTATTCGTGTGTTCAAAGGTGGGTCTTTCGTTTGGTTTGTTCTTAGAATTTGGCAAGTTGTTGTCTTCATTTGTTTATAAGTTGGGGCGGTTGGATTTTGCTTTTGGAGTATGATCTTAGGTTTATAGGTAATACATGGTGGTTTTGTACCTGTTGTGGAGATGATCAAAGACAATTTGGATGTGTTTAGTTTGCTAACTGTATAAGAGGTGATGTCACATATATAGATAAGTTGTATTTCGTATTTATCCCATTTTCATGTAAAACTCTGCATATTTAGGTAAATTGTTGTCTGGTACGTACTTACCTCAAATGAAGGTCAATTACCTCGAATTTTTTCTTGTTGTAGGTGGATTATGAAGACAATCCAGAGTTCTAAATTCAAAATTTAAATTAGCAGTAAAAGATTCATAAAATCAGAATTTTCAACTTCTTGCCAAATTTATTTCAAAAGGCAATGGACATGAAAAATGAGGTATAAATACTAGCGAGTCTAGATCAAAAGAAGAAAACACCTAAATCAAACCTTTTGGGCACGGATCTAAAGAAGACCCCATCCTTATTGTGAAACAAACAAAATTAAAGTAAAGCTATCAAAATGTTTGAACAAAAATCAGCGATGGAGTAGAAAGTTGGCGAAATGTGTACTGACCAAAACGGCCTTATGGGCAGGAACGGGTACAGCGGCCTGGGCAGACCCGCCGTTGGCGGCAAACAGAATGACGTCGGAGAAGGAATCCGGTTGGGACGTCGTGAGAAAAGCGACCTTGGCCTTGAGGTCCTCGTGGCACTTCTTGAGGTCCTCGTGGCACTTCTTGCAGGTGCCGGCGTCGTATCTGCCATTGCAAGATATGCACCTCATGTTGGGTTGGGGTTCTCAAAGATAAATAACAGCAAGAGAAGAAGTTTTAAGGCAAATGTAATTTCGTCAATTGATCAGTTGTGCTGCCTCCCCTGCCTTATTATGGTACGTAGTTTCCTTCGTCTGGAAGTAGTCCGCCACTTTTCTTTTCTTTTCTTCTTCTATGTTTAAGTTCCTTGCTTGCTCTAAAATCATTCGTATAAAAATAAATAGAGACAATGTTGCCCTTTATCTGTTAGTAGATTTTGACAGATATATTAGAATACTTGTTTATCTATTTACAGAAATGGAGAACCTGACTACTCGCCTTTGTTGGGAGCTTGTAAGGAAGGAAGGATATATTGTTGGAAGTTTGAAAGCAAATTATCCCACATCGGAGGAAACAAATGGTTTTCCATGCTCCATAGATTTCGAATACGAGTCGCAGATCTTTCTCCTTCAGCTCAGCGTACTCCTCCCTGTTAGTAAGCTTGTCCATGTTGTCTGTGATCAACGTCAAGGCTAGGTTGATGATCTGCTTGGCGTTATGCTGATGCACGAAGGTGTAGGTTGAAAGTGAATTGTCCCAGTTGAGGTTAGACTCCAAGAACTTCTGGCACAAGTCTTTGAGATGCTGCACCTGGTATTTGTCAGCCATTTCTAGGAGATCACAGGCCAATTGCTGGTCAAGGCATACCACCTCTGCTGTGTAGAGGTAGTTGACAAAGGCACGAAGGGTGCCGTAGGACACATCGACTGTCTTGATGGTGCCACTCAGACTTTCTTCCATCATATTCTCAAACATGGCGCTGAACACCGTAGAACAGCTCTTCTGATTGAGTACCCGCCAAAACACATGTTCAAAAGAATTCAAAGCGTGCATTTTTACAACAAATTCAGTTAGAATTACATTTCCCAGGATCATATGATCATCCACAAACATTAAAGGGATTATGATGCTCAACTCATAGCAAGTTTTGCGTAATGCCTTATGATGATGAACCCCGAGGACCAAGGCATTAATTAGAACAACAATACTTCAACACGAAAATGTTAATGCAACCAAGAGCACCCCCAGCAGCAAAATAGCTAAGCGATAACTAGTCCTAACCTAAGTCATTTTTAGCTAAAAGTCTTCCCAAAACACTCCTCCAACAGACTATATATTGATGAACAAGTAAAACCACAATATATTTGATCAAAACACTTGAATAATTCTTGAAAGGATAAGAATTTTTTCAGGAAAAATCACGCGTATACTACATCTACATTTTAATAACTCATCAAAAGTGCAAAAAGGAATTATCACAATAACACACACAGTACATATGTAATTGAGTACTGACCAAAATGGCCTTAGGGGCAGTAACGGGTACAGAGGCATGGACAGAGCCATGTCGGAGAAGGAAGCTGGCTGGGGGTGGTGAGAAAAGCGACCTTGGCCTTGAGGTCCTCGTGGCACTGCTTGCAAGTGCCGGTCATCTCCGTTGTATTTGCCCTGGCAAGATATATGCAAATGTTCATGTTGGGGTGCTCAAAGATAAATAACCAGAGAAGAAATTCTAAGAAAATGTGATTACATCCATTGATCAGTTGTGCTGCCCCTTAGAGCATCCGCAATGGTTGCTCAATAGTTGATTTCAGTTTAGTTCAGTTCAAAAGTTAAATTTATTGAACTTTTGTGGCAGCTGTTGAAATTAACTGTAGTTTCACTTGCAGTGGTGCAGTTCAATAATTAACACTTCATACCATAATATTATGAAGGGTTAGTTTTTGTAACCTTTGTTCCCAAAATTTGTGCACAACACAGGCTTGATGGCCTTCATTCAATAGACTTAACCAAAAGCCAATAGGGAAAACAAAAACGGAAATCCTTAAAGAAACCTATAATCATTTCCCTCTTTGAACGGCAACAGCGGCGAGGATGGCAGAGGGTATTTGGGCCACCGGATTTGATGAAGGTCGTAGGAGTAGTTATTGAAAATGATGGCTTGGTTTCATAGTATAAGGTTGTGAAGATCACTTGAAATGCATCAAACTGCACTTTATTCCTCACACAACCGATAATATCTTATGGGCTGTGGATATACACAAGTAACTGAGGAATGAACCTCAACTACTGCAGTTTTAACCTTAAACTCCGCAGAACCCTTCTGCGCTGCTGCAGCCTATTTGGAGAAATAAGCTTCATAGATTTCGAAAACTGAAAAATTGCACACATCATATGTAGTCGCGACAACAAACAGTCATCATTCTTATTCATACTCACTTAGAACCTCATAATCTTCAATGGACATTCCCCTCCAATTATAGGAAGATAAGAAGTCGAAGAAGACTGCTAAAATATGAGAACTATGTGAGAATATTTATTTGTGGAAATTTTCTGTGTATTCTTCTCCTTGTAGGAGGTCATATAACGGAACTTAATGGGCAAGTAAATAATAAATTCTTATTTCTATTTACAGTAGGAAATCAGGAATTAAAGTAAATCAAATACAATTATAATGGGAATCCTTGGTTTGTAAGGAAAGAAAGTCTGTGGTCCACAAGTCACGCCAACACTCCCCCTCACGTTGGTGCATAGATGTCGCTAATGTCCAATTGGTCCAGTGAATTGTGGAACGCTTTACTGAAAATTGCCTTTGTCAAAATATCCGCCAATTGATCCTTGAACTTTATGAAAGGAAACTGAATCACTTTAATTCGAGCTTTTGTTTGATATAGTGTCAATCTACCTCAACATGTTTGGTATGATCATGTTGAACTGGATTCTGTACAATAGCTATTGCAGCCTTGTTGTCACAAAAGATATTCATTATAGATGTAGGTCTATACCTAAGTTCAATAAGCAACCTCTTTAACCAAATGAGTTCACAAATTCCTTTGGTCATACCTACGAACTAGGCTTCTGTACTTGATAAGGCGACTACCTTTTTTTTCTTACTTCTCCATATAACCAAATTATCTCCCACGAATGTTAAGTAACCGGATGTGGATTTCCTGTCTGTTATATCTTCTGCCCAATCTGCATCTATGTAACCAGCAATATTCAGATGACTATGTTTTGAGAACATAAGTCCTTTTCCGGGTGCAGACTTGAAATATCTAAGTATCTGAATAACTGCATTTATGTGGTCTTCACAAGGAGAATGCATAAATTGACTAAATACACTCACTGTATAAGGAATGTTTGGCCGAGTATGAGACAAGTAGATCAATCTTCCCACTAACCTTTGGTATCTTTCTTTGTTAGTTGAAACTTGATCTGGGTATTCTCCAAGGTGATGATTCTGAACAATAGGAGTGTCTACAGGTTTGCAATCTAGCATTCTTGTGTTTGTCAACAAGTCCAAAACATATTTCATTTGAGAGAGAAATATGCCTTGTTGTTATCGGGTTACCTCAATCCCTAAGAAATATTTGAGTCCACCTAGTTTCTTCATCTCAAATTCAGTAGCCAAATAGTCTTGTAGATGAGATATTTCATGTTTATCATTCTCAGTAATAATCATGTTGTCAACATAAATTATTAAAGCTGTTACCTTCCATTTCTGATGTTTCAAGAACAAAATATGATTTGAGTTACTTTATCTGAAACCATTGTTCTTCATTGCCATGGTGAACTGTCCAAACCATGCACCTGGTAACTGTTTCAGTCCATACAATGCCTTTCATAATTTGTATTCTGTTCCAGTCTGAGTAGTATTATATCTAGGAGGAATATCCATATACACCTCCTCCGTGAGTTCTTCATGTAGGAAAGCATTCTTTACATCAAACTGTTGTAGTGGCCTATTCAAATTAGCTGCGATGGACAGTAAGACTTTGGCTGTGTTCAATTTTGCAACTAGTGTAAAAGTTTCTTCAAAATCTACATCATAAGTCTGTGTGTACCTTTTCGCCACAAGGTTTGTATTGTATCGCTAGATTAATCCATCAACGTTGTGTTTTATGGTAAACACTCATTTACATCTGACAATAATTTTTTCTCATGGCAAAGTTTCTAATGTCCAAGTCTGATTCTTCTCAAGATCCTTTATCTCTTCCTTTATAGCTTAAACTCACTTAGGATCTTTAATGCTTAGGCAACCTTGGTTGGGATATGAATAGCAGACAACTGATGCACAAAGGCCTTGAGAGGTTCAAATATCTTCTCAGTGGATACATAATTCGCAATTGGACACTTTGATGTCTTGCTAATATCAGGTGAATAACGATTTGGTGGCTTTCCACGATTCTACTTGAAAGATAATTGGTATCCAATAGATTTATCATATAAATTCACAAGTGTAATAGGAGGAGTTACCTCAAGGATATTCTTAGGAGATTGGTCTGTTGGTACCGTTGAGTTAGAGGGGGGTCTTCATCTTGTTGTTATGTATTTTCTATAGGTATAAGACTTGGATCAGAAACATCTTCACATAGATCAGGTGGGTCAGGCGATTGATCACTATGAATGGGTGATTGATGGCTTTTCGGTAGAGAGTAATCTCGTGCTCCAGACTTGAGACGATCGATCATTTCTGTACAAAGGAGAATTTCTTCATTTTCCAAGTTGCTCAAATTCTGCTCTTCACTTCGTATCTCCCCCTAAAGTGTAGAATTGGTTGATAGGTTATGGAAGAACAGCTTAGATTCCATAAAGGTTACATCCAAAGTGACATAGGTACGTCGGGTAAGAATGTGATAATAGCGGTAGCCTTTCTGATGAGTAGCATAACCCACAAAAACCCAACGAAGGGCACATGGATCAAGTTTGCTATGTTGATTTTTGTAGAGATGAACGAAAGCCATACATCCAAAGATTCGGGGTGTGAGTACCAAAACAAAGGGTAGGGGTCTGTGTAGAGCAAACACTTATATGGAAGTTTTAAAGGTCAATACACCAGAAGCCATGAGGTTGATCAGGTGAATTGCGATGCCAATAACATTATCCCAGTGATGGCAATGAACATGAAAGCCAATCAGAAGTGCTTGGGCAGTTTCAAGAAGATGTCAATTTTTTCTTCAGCAACACCATTTTGTTGCGGTGTAGGACAAGTCGTCTCATGGATAATTCCATGTTGTTTGAAGTAAGCTTGAAAGTCATGATTGAAAAATTCTCCACCATTGTTTGAGCAAAGAATCTGGATTTAAGCATTGAACTGAGTTTTCATCTGTCTGTAGAATGACTGAAAACGGAAAAACACTTTGTTTTTATTCTTTAGCAAATAGAGTCATGTCATCCTTGTATAATCATCTATGAATGTGACAAACCACCGAACACCAAAAGAAGCAGTGATAGGTGAAGGTCCCTATACATCAAAGTGAATTACGTAAATAGAATAATACACTTGTTCGTACTCAACGGATAGGGCACACGGTGACTCTTCGCCAAAATATAAGTATCACATGTGAAGTTCGAATCCTTGAAACCTGAGAATAAATATGGTATAAGATGCTTCATATAACTAAAAGATAGGTGTTCTAATCGACGGTGCCACAACCAGATTTGCTTTTGCTTGGTATCAAAGGGATGCGTCACACTGTTAGCCATGCCGGGACTAAAGCCATCTACATATTATAGCCTCATCTCTTAGTACCACGACCAAGAATCTACTTAGTATGAATATCTTGAAGCAAACAAAAACTCGGGTAAATGAATACACAACAATTCAATTGTTCAGTAAGCTGACTAATTGACATCAATTTATTCGATAAAGATAGAACAAGTAGAGTATTAGATAGTGAGAGAGAGGATGAGAGTGTAACAGTGTCAGCCCCTGTCACAGGAAAAGTAACTCCATTGTCCTTAGCAATACAAGTTTGTCGAGGTTGCATCGTATTCAAAAAATCATCAGGATCAAATGTCATATGATCAGTTGCACTGGAATCAATTATCCAGCTCGAGGAATCACTCTTATCCGAAGTATGGAATCCATAACCAATATCATTACATGTCGTATCGGGTTGTGTTCGATCTTTGAGAGTAGCCCACCATTCTGGGTAATCATGCAATTTAAAACAAGTCTCAATAGTGTGTCTCAGATCACCACAACATGCGCAATCTCGTCCATGTGTTTGGGTCGTTAGTTGAGAATTCATAATTTGTGCAGCGGAAGATGGATATGATACAAGTTTAGCAGGAATCCAAATTAGGATATGAGTCTGAATTGGAGTCGGGGTCGTCGTCATTGTAGTCAGGGTCGAGGTCGTCGTCATCGTAGTCGGGGTCAGGGTCGTCAAAATAGGATCCTGATTTAGGATTGGGCTCGGGGTCGAAATCTGCATCTATAGGAGCTGAGCCACTTGCATACTTAACTCGGCTATGGTGATTAAGAATGAGAGAATGAGTCAGCAGTGCTACCTCCATAAGGGTTGAAAAAATCATCAACCCCCATAGCGGTAGCGGGGGTTGGAAACTAGAGTCAGCAATTCCAAGATCACCGCTCCCATGCTAAAATATGAGAACTATGAACTCTTCGCCAAAATATAAGTATCACATGTGAAGTTCGAATCCTTGAAACCTGAGAATAAATATGGTATAAGATGCTTCATATAACTAAAAGATAGGTGTTCTAATCGACGGTGCCACAACCAGATTTGCTTTTGCTTGGTATCAAAGGGATGCGTCACACTGTTAGCCATGCCGGGACTAAAGCCATCTACATATTATAGCCTCATCTCTTAGTACCACGACCAAGAATCTACTTAGTATGAATATCTTGAAGCAAACAAAAACTCGGGTAAATGAATACACAACAATTCAATTGTTCAGTAAGCTGACTAATTGACATCAATTTATTCGATAAAGATAGAACAAGTAGAGTATTAGATAGTGAGAGAGAGGATGAGAGTGTAACAGTGTCAGCCCCTGTCACAGGAAAAGTAACTCCATTGTCCTTAGCAATACAAGTTTGTCGAGGTTGCATCGTATTCAAAAAATCATCAGGATCAAATGTCATATGATCAGTTGCACTGGAATCAATTATCCAGCTCGAGGAATCACTCTTATCCGAAGTATGGAATCCATAACCAATATCATTACATGTCGTATCGGGTTGTGTTCGATCTTTGAGAGTAGCCCACCATTCTGGGTAATCATGCAATTTAAAACAAGTCTCAATAGTGTGTCTCAGATCACCACAACATGCGCAATCTCGTCCATGTGTTTGGGTCGTTAGTTGAGAATTCATAATTTGTGCAGCGGAAGATGGATATGATACAAGTTTAGCAGGAATCCAAATTAGGATATGAGTCTGAATTGGAGTCGGGGTCGTCGTCATTGTAGTCAGGGTCGAGGTCGTCGTCATCGTAGTCGGGGTCAGGGTCGTCAAAATAGGATCCTGATTTAGGATTGGGCTCGGGGTCGAAATCTGCATCTATAGGAGCTGAGCCACTTGCATACTTAACTCGGCTATGGTGATTAAGAATGAGAGAATGAGTCAGCAGTGCTACCTCCATAAGGGTTGAAAAAATCATCAACCCCCATAGCGGTAGCGGGGGTTGGAAACTAGAGTCAGCAATTCCAAGATCACCGCTCCCATGCTAAAATATGAGAACTATGAAAGAATATTTGTTTGTAGGAATTTTCTATGTATTCTTCTCCTTGTAGGAGGTCATATTTATAATACAACGGAACTTTAATGGGCAAGTAAATAATAAATTCCTATTTCTATTTATAATAAGAAATCATGAATTAAAGTAAATCAAATATAATTATAATGGGAATCTTGCGACGAGTCCTACTTTATTAACCAGTTTGGATAGATAAGCTACATAGATTTCGAGTATAAGTACTGGATATTTCTTCTTCAGCTCAGCGTACTCTTCCTGGGCAGTAAGCTTGTCTATGTTGTTTGTGATCAAAGTCAAGGCTGCGTCGATGATCGGCTTAGCGTTATGCTGGTGCGCAAAGATGTAGGTCGACAGTGAATTGCCCAAGTTGAGGTTGGACACCAAGAACTTCTCGCAGCAGTTCTTGAGATGCTGCACTTGGTATTTTTCAGCCAATACAAAGAGGTCACAGGCCAATTGCTGTTCGAGGCATACCTCAGTTGTGTACAAGTAGTTCACAAAGGTATAAAGGGTGTTGTAGGACACTTTGCCAATCTTGATGGTGCCACTCCGGCTTTCTTCCATCTCATTTTCAAGCATGGCGCTCAACACCAGAGAACGGCTCACCTAGCACACATAATATAAATCACATTTACTAATAAATCATTCATCTGCCTACAATAAATCACATCTCACATGAGACATATGCCTACGCATATATAAATAACTTGTAATAAAACACAAAATATTTTCTTCTAGGCACAAGTCTCTATGATGGAAATGATGCTTAAGTCTAGAAATTCATCCACTGCATCTTTTTTCACAAAATGTGCATCTCAAGTATTTTTTTTCCCCCTCTATTTCTTTTTCGTACTTTCACGCAGGATCTTTTCGATTCATAGCTATAAAACAACACCATTAATATTTCTAAGATACATGTATGATGCATGTACGTCAAATTTCTACTATATCACATAAATGAATAAGATAAGCAATATATTGAAAAAAAATATGAAAAAAAAAAAAATTACATGGAACTTCAAATTACAGTTGCGATAGAGAGAAAAATAGAATGGCAAGTCTAAAGATGAAGAGAATTCTTGAAATTGATGGAGATTATCTGATAAGGGTATAAATTAGGGTTGTACTATACAATATATATATATATATATATGTATGTATATGTAAGTCCATGTGTTAATATATTAATTTCGAAAAGAAAAAAAAGGGTAAGTAGAATAAAGGCTACAGCCACCATGAGTTAGAAAAGGGCAAGAAAGATATTATTAATATTGAAATTGAAAGCTACAGCTTGAGTTTTATTACAATAAAGGCTACAATTTGCGTTTTATTAATATTGAAATTGAAAGCTACAACTTGCACTTTATATTTTTCAAAACACTCAAGTGAAACGAAGCAAAAAAGAAGGGGTTTCAAACTCCTGCCACTTTTATCACTCTCTCACACCTTATCCACCATGCTACACACAGCTTTGTGATTATATGCTACACCATTTGATATTTATATATGCTACAGACACATCCCATCAAGTAAAGGCACATCAGATCCTCTCTTTGTTATTATTTTTATTTTATTTATTTATTTTTGTGTTTTCCATTGAGCGATACGTGTTTGTTTTTTAATTAATACTCTTACAAACCCCCAGCGGCCCCTGCAAATCCCAAGTGACAGGTCCAAGATAATGATGGAGACAAATCCCCGCAAATCCAGCAATCTCTCAGAAATCCCAGGTGATAGCTCCAAGATAATGATGTCAAACTTTGCCATGTCTATAAAAGGAAACGAGGGGAAAACACAAAATCACAACTTAGAAAAGACCAAGCTCCACCAATTTTCTTCCTTCCTATTTGTCTCGATCTAAACCTATCTCCTATGTTGCAGCATTAACATTAATTCCTTCGCAAAATTTCCTTTTGGGCTGCTACAACATTAAGTTGCTTGGAGAGATAAGCTTTATAGATTTCGAACACGAGTCGCGGATCTTTCTCCTTGATGAGAGTAGACATGAACATAGGCAACACACCCGAAAAATTTAAGGGGTAACTTGGAGACGGAGACAGGGGAAACATGGTCACCAAACACATCATGGGGAGTCTTGAAATAAAGAACCCAGTTAGGAGAGTATGATTAATCAAATAGGCATCTGATAGAACAACATGCCCATAAAGATGATGAGGAACAAACATATCCAATATGAGTGAGTGAGCAACTTCAAGCAATTGTCGGTTCTTCCTTTCAGACACATCATCTTGTTGAGGGGTAAAATGGGTTATCATTTGGTGAATAAAACCTTGAGCACGAAAGAAATACGCCAAAGTATTATTCACACATTCTCCTCTGTTATCAGTTCGGAATATTTTGACCCGAGCCTGAAACTGAGTAGACACCATAGTACAAAACTTTGGAAGGATGGAAGCAACGTCACGTTTATTTTTCAGCAAGAAAACCTAAGTGAGTTGGGTACAATCATCAATAAATGTGACGAATCAACGAAATCCTTTCGAAGTAACGCAAGTCAGACCCCACACATCAGAATGCACTAAATCAAAAAGCTTTGCAGCTTTACTGTCACTCAAAGGAAATACAGTGTGATGGCTCTTTGCCAAAATACATGTCTCACACTTAAAATTCGACTCATTACAAGAGTGGAATAAAAATGAAAATAGACACTTAAGGTAGCCACACGACGGGTGTCCCAAGCGACGATACCATAACCAAATTTGATGTTTGTCTTTGACACTACAACTTTGAACAATATTAACGACACAATCACGAACTGGTGCAGAAGGCAATGTAAAATAATATAACCCCTCATATGTTTACCATGCTCAATCGTCTCGTAAGTCTTGAGATCTTGAAAAGAGTAATGTGTATGATAGAAAGTAGCAGAAGCATTAAGTGTATCAAGTAATCAACCAACAGATAACAAGTTGTAATGGATAGTAGGAACTAGTAACGCACAAGACAAGGACAGATTAAAAGTGAGAGAGATTGTTCCCTCACCAATAATTAGAGAGGGCAGGCCATTAGCACTAGTTATGTATGGGTCACAAGTGTTACTAGACAACTCATGAAAAAATTTAGTATCATAATTCATATGATCAAAAGCATCAATGTCAATTATCCAAGTAGTGGAGCTAGTACTTGGAATAGAGTAAAAAAAAACCCACAAATTTGCAGAAGCAACAACAACAGCACCAACAATGGAGTTATTACCCTTGATTGCAGAAGAAACTCAACAGATCACGGCATAGTACACAACGGAACACAAAGGAAGTATGCTGGTAACTCACAAGAATTGTTGCAGGAATTCAAGTGAGGCAACTCCGTATGTGAAGTGTAAGGGAAACTCAGAGTTGGTCATAGTATCTATATACGTTGATGACATTGTTTACATTGGTAACTCACAAGAATTGTTGTAGGAATTCAAGTCAGATATGATGAAGAAGTATGAGATGACATACTTGGGTTTATTGCATCATTTCTTAGGAATGGGAGTTATATATAGTGATAATTGCATCTTCCTACATCAGAGGAAGTATGCTTCTACTCTCTTACAAAAATTTGGCCTGCAAGAGTGCAAATCAGTGAGTATTCCTCTTGTTCCAAATGACAAACTAAGGAAGGATGATGATAGTGGAGTTGTAGATGAGACTCAGTATCAAAAACTGGTTGGAAGCTTGCTTTACCTTACTGCAACCAGACCAGACATAATGTATGTTGCTTGTTTGTTGTCAAGGTTTATGCACTGTCCAACCAACAAGCATTATGGAATGGGTAAAATGGTTCTTAGATATATTCAAGGCACTCTCGATTTTGGTTTGGAGTACAAGAAAGGAAAAGGGACAGTTTTGATAGGCTTCTGTGACAGCGATTGGAGTGGTTCAGAAGATGACATGAGAAGTACATCTGGATATGCCTTCACCTTTGGCAGTGGGGTGTTTTCTTGGGCATATGTGAAGCAACAATGTGTTGCTCTATCCACAGCAGAAGCCGAGTATATTAGTGCCTCAGAAGCTACGACACTGGCTACATGGTTAAGATTTGTGTTGGAGGATTTTGGTGAAATGCAAGCTGTTGCCACACCACTGAATTGTGACAACACCTCAGCCATTGCAATCATCAAGAATCCAATCTTTCATCAGAAAACCAAACACATAAATCAGAGGTATCATTACATCAAGGAAGCTCTACAACAAGGTGTAATCGACTCGCTTCATTGTCCTACAAAGGAGCAAGTAGTTGACATATTCACAAAGGCTTTGGCAAGAGAACAGTTATCATATCTTAGAGAATTGCTTGGGGTGAAATCAGTTCACAATTTGAAGGGGAGTGTTAATGTGTAAATGGTGAACTGATTTAGTATTATAATCGTTTTGTTTAGTGTTAAGTCTTAGCTCATAGGCTAAGTTAGTTTGTTAAGTCTCATAGGACTTGACTTGGACAGGTGTCTTAATTGTATTGATAGTGTAGTTGGATGGTTGAGATTGAAGCTAGGAGCTGTCAGCTCTCTCTCTCCTCTAACGGTAATATGAGTGTCAATTGGTTACTTCACACGAGAGATGAATACAAGTGTTTGTGCAGAGCAATTTTGTTCATCTCTCTCTCTTCTTCATTATTCTCAAAACTCCATTTTCTCATTAGCTCATATTAGCTCATAAACTCTAACAATAATCAAATAGTTGACTTAGACTAATTAGGAATGTACAGCTCGCTGACATACTTTGCATTTGGTTTCACCCACTACTAGAAGAGTTTTGACCGCCAGTTATCATTGTCAAGCTTTAAAATATGAAGGGGCCCATGATATTTTTTTTTGGCTCCGTCCTTGCCATGCGCACAAAGGAAAATGAAGAATGTCTGGAGAGAAAAGCTTCATAGATCTCGAACACGAGTTGTGGATCTTTCTCCTTGAGCTTGGTGTACTCCTTCCGGGAAGTAAGCTTGTCCATGTTGTCTGTGATCACTGTTAAGGCTGCGTCAATGATCTGCTTGGCATTATGCCGGTGCGCTAAGGTGTAGGTCAAAAGTGAATTGTCCCAGTTGAGGTTGGATACCAAGAATTTCTGGCAGTAGTCTTTAAGACGCTGCACCTGGTATTTTTCAGCCATTACAAAGAGGTCATAGGCCAATTGCTGGTCAAGGCATACCTCAGCAGTGTAGAGGAAGTTGACAAAGGCACCAAGGGTGCGGTAGGACACTTCGCCAATCTTGATGGTGCCGCTCAGGCTTTCTTCCATCTCATTCTCAAACATGGCTCTAAACACCGGAGAACGGCTCACCTGAAAAACACATGATGTTCAAAACAACTTTAATATCACAACACCCTTCGTATATATATATAATCAATCAAACAAGTTTTTCCTTTTTTTAAGGCTAAAATTCTCCCAAAAACACTCCTCCAGCAGCTTAGCTAATCATGAGCCCCAAAATTTAATTAGTTTTGTGAAGGGTAGCTACCATGGTAATTATAATAAAGCATTGGCCATTTCAAGTCAATCAAATTTACCATTCATCCACCTACAAATAAATCACATCTCTCATTATATTTACTAATTAAGGTTGTTACATAGTTCTACAAAGAAATCAACCAATTCATACAAAATTAAAATATACAACTAAAGTCACCAAATTGTTGAAAGAAAAAAAAACAGTGATGAAGTAAAGAAGCAAGTTGGCGGAATGGGTACTGACCAAAACGGCCTTATGGGCCGGGACGGGACCAGCGGCCTCGTCGTCGGAGGCAAACAGAACGACGTCGGAGAAGGAAGCCGGCTGGGTGGCCGTGAGAAAAGCGACCTTGGCCTTGTGGTCCTCGTCGCACTGCTTGCAGGTATCGGTGATAAATTCTTGGAAGCTGCACTCGCAAGATTTGCACTTCATGTTGAAGAGGAGAAATTCAAAGCAAATGTAATTTCACGCATTCATCATTGTTGTGCTGCCCTGCCTTTTTATATTGGTAGCTACTAGCTAGCTTCATTGGACTCTTTCACTTTTTGTTTTTGTTTTTTTTTTTCCAACACTTTTCTTTTTCTTTGGCATAATTATTGGAGGAGTCCGCCACTTTGCTTTGGAAGGGGCCCGCCCACTCTGCTTTCTATAGTGTGATGAAAAGATCTAGTATGGTTTAGAATTTCAAAATGGGATAGGTTAAATTTATCTTATATACAAAATATAATAGAGTTTAGTTTGTTCGGCTAAATTGGACTGAATTGGATAAATTACACTGGACTGGTTAGGATATGACTGGATTTTAAGCAGTTATTTGGTGCAATAAACATCAACTTGAGATTGTAGGACTGGAACAAAAATAGCAAAATACAAAAATAATTAAAATAATGAATACATTTCTAAAAAATGCAATTTGACTAATCTACCAGCAAGATTCACAAGTCCTCCTTATTAAGAGGAGCGATAGCAAACTAAACTAACACACACTACACAAATACTAAGGCTTGAACTCAGAAAACTAGTGGGTCCTTTTGCAACATAAAGATTGTTAAAATAGTAAAACCAAGTGTTTTAATTGAAAATAAGAGGATTAAAAGATGGATGAAAAAAAAAATTGAAGACTAAAATACAACTTACACTAGTACATTAATTGATGTGTCAGTGCCAATTCAAGTTCAACAACCCACAACTTGTTGAAAATCCTGGAGGCAAAAAAAAGAAAAAAGAAAAAGGAAGACAAGTAATATTATAAGATGAGGAATATAATAAATTTCACTATTGGTACTCCATTTTATGGAAGAATTTTTTCACTATTGGTACTTGAGTTTTAACCAGTATCCCAATATAACATAATACATGAACTTCTAGTTTAACCCAATTTGAAAAAAAAATTTCACAATGAGAATTTCTTCTTTTCTTTTCGTTTTTTTCTAAAGAAAAAAGAGAAGGGAATACAAACAATATAGGTGGTCAAATGCACCATCTCTTTACCAATTGGTTGTTAGTTGAATTGACTCAAGATATTTGATGTGCTTCCAAGTGATTCTGGGTTTAAGTTGCCATGATATGTGTGTGTGTTAGTTTCTCCCTTCCTCTTCCTAATTTTGGAAACCAAAAAAAAGCACCATCTCTTTTTTTGTTTAGTAAATTTAGTTTAACCCTGAGATTTCTTGTGTTTTCACAAAACCACCTCAGTTTTCAAAAATTGCACGAACACCCCCTGAAGTTTCAATTTGTTTTCACAAAACCCCTTTTCATTGATTGTTTGTCTAAAAATTGGTGATTTCATTGAAAAAAAAAACTTAAGCAAATGACAAAATTAACTCAATGAAGTATATGCAATCTAATCTCAAATGCCAACTTTTTTATTTGGAGAATTTTTTTTGGTATAAAATCATCATTCTTCGGACGAAAAATCAATGAAAATGAGTTTTGTGAAAACAATTTAAAACCTGAAGGGGTGTTCTTGTAATTTCAAAAACCTCAAGGAGTTTTGTGAAAAAGCTGAAAACCTCAAGGGGTATTAGTGTAAATAATTCAAATTTGAACCTTATAGGAACTTTATGTGGTATTAAGTCACTTATGCAATGTATAAAGTGTAAAATATTGTACTAAATCATTATAAATAAATGATTATGGTGTGCTAAATTTTCTTTCATTAATTACTACATATTTTCTACACTCATAATGTTTGTCAGCTCGCTATATAATCAACTTAAATCAGTTAAACCCATCATGCAATGTATTTTTCTTCCAATTTTTGTGTGATAAAGTAATAGATAATTGACTAAATAAATATCCTCCAAAGTTTCAAGAAAAATTTCCAAGTTTTTCTTACAATTTTCTTGATTTTTATCAATATCCATCTAATTTTTTTTGTTTTTAGACTATTGATATTTCCGAAACCACTAATATTTTATATTAGTAGCTTCATTGGACTCTTTCAATTTTTTTTTTTGGGTGGTTAACTCCTTCGTCTGGAAGGAAGTCCAACACTTTGCTTTAGAAGGGGTCCGCCATTCTGCTTTCTGATCTAACCTTTTGTGTGAGGGTGAAAAGATCAATCAAAATGTTGATTTATCTTTTAGGATAAAAATAAAGAGCATATCATAATGCTTTTGTTGCTCAACTGATTAAGAGTATTTACTCATGCATCTTTAATATTGCTTGAATTGAATAAAGAAAGTATAAAAAATTAGGGAGACTTTGGAAAAACACAAAGGAGAGAGAAATTTTGTAAAAAAAGCCAAAATGGACAAAATTGCCCTTATTTATTTTTGGATTTCCTAAGGAATCCTTTACATTTGCATATCTTTGATTTGAAAGTTGAGAGGTTTTTCTGTCTTTTTTGAAAAAGCTTTGGCTTTTTTCAAAAGTGAAATTTTTTTTTTTTTTGCTAAAACCTAAATTTACTAAAAAATTACTTGTGATAAAATTTCATCTTTTATCTTTAGTTTGTTTAAATTATAACTTGTTGAAAATCCCGGAGAAATGAGATGAGATTTTAACACTCGTCAATTTTATTTAACTTTTTCTTTTTATAAAATTCTTTTAATTTTCTTTATTTTGGAATTTGATAAATGTCAACATCTCATTTTCTTTGAGGAGAAAATCATCCTTAATGTTTAAAGAGCCAAGCCTTATTTTATAAGAAATTTCACTATTAGTCTCCATTTATGGAAGAATTTTTTTCACTATTGGTACTTGAGTTTTAACCGATGTCCCAATACATGAACTATTAAATAATAACAATTTGAAGACATATATATATATATATATATATATTTGGTCAATAAGAAATTTCATTTCTTTCTAAAAGAACAGGAATGCAAACAGTGGGACACGCAGAAACAACATAAAATATATCCAAATTTAAAGGCATATATGGATTACATTAGTTGGCCAGGACAATAGCTTCATCCATTCCATATCATATTGTGCTACTCTGCCTTATTGGTAACTTAATTGAACTTTCTGGTTTTGCTTGCTACCCAACCTTTGTGGTTGGAAGACCCTACTAATCTCCGAGGTTAGGGATTGTGCTTTGTGCAACTTCACCCACCAAAACTAAGATGAACAGCCCAACACCATCATGCCTCATCGAACGTTCATTTTTCTTTTTCTTTGGTTGCTATCAATTTTTGGACTCCGTCGTCTGGAAGGAGTCTGGGGCCCGGCACTTATTGCTTTCTATCTCGCCTTTGTGTGAGATGAAAAGATCAAGGACGATGTTGATTTGATCTTGCACGATAAAAATGCTCATAGCAAGATAACCCACTCATCTATTAACATGTGGCAATCCCTCATACCCATTTTAATTACAATTTTAATCTCTTAATATTTTTTTGCTGATTATTTTACGGTCATTGAATCACACTAAAATTTAGCACTTGATATTTGTATCTTCCCTAGTTCACTATATTAAATATACAGAGAAAAGGAACACTGATCGAAAGCTCATGTCAGGGTGACCGGAAATCCCTCACTGGACTGAGCTTCTAGTTCACTTTCTGGGCAGCAGTACTGTATTGACCTGTTTGAAGAGATAAGCTTCACATAGATTTCGACTCCACTAGTTCGAGCCTATTTTATTTATTTGTATTAGGTGTGGGAACTTCATGTGATGTAGAGTACATAGATAGATTTCTTGTTGTTCTGTTTGTGTTGGGCACGTACAGGTGTAATATCAACCATCGTGCTCGAAATGGATTGAATGTTGAGGCCCAGCGCGGAAGTGTTTTGTTTGTTTGTCAAAGGTAACAATGGGCATGAGAGTTTAGTCACGCACACTCATGCTTAGGGGTTTCGAACATTAAATCCGAGGCCAAATGGACTTTATAACTATATGTAGTATGACTCCATTGGCGGGGGAAGTGTTTACACTATGGTCTTGAAACACTCAATAGACAAACTCACTTAACCAAAGTACACAATAAAAAGCAAAAGAAATCCTTAAACAAACACACTATTTTATACATTATTTCCTTCTTTAAGAAACCTATGGCAATGGCACAATGAAGCCCGTTGAAGAAGTTGTTGAAACTTGGGGTTGGTTTCCACTTTCTCGTCGCACAATAGGGAAACCACGAGACCTAGAAGAAGCCCTGCGTACACAGGAAAATGAAGATTGATCACGAACTGCTGCTGCACGACTGAAATGAGCTTCATAGATTTCCAATACAAGTCCTGGATGTCTCTCCTTCAGCTCCGCGTACTCCTCCCGGGCAGCGAGCTTGTCCATGTTGGCTGTGATCACCCTCAAGGCTGCGTCGATGATCGGCTTAGAGTTATGCTGGTGCGCAAAGGTGTAGGTTGGAAGTACATTGTCCCAGTTGAGGTTGGACACCAAGAATTTCTGGCAGTAGTCTTTGAGATGCTGCACCTGGTATTTTTCAGCCATTACAAGCAGATAATAGGCCAATTGCTGGTCAAGGCATACCTCAGCTGTGTACAGGTACACATCGCCGATCTTGATGGTGCCGCTCTGGCTTTCTTCCATCTCATTCTCAAGCATGGCTTTGAACACTGGAGAACGGCTCACCTAATTCGTCGAAATATGTTATAAATAGCATTATTAATATACATAATATATATTTAAGAGGAATTCAAACAGCACATTAATTGAACAAAAATCAGCTAGAATAATAATATCATCCCAGGAACATATTAATTTTGTGAATAGTACTAGACTACTACAAGTAGATAGCCAGGAGAGAGAAAATGACTCTACCCAAATTATTCTAATAGTACAATATCTGCATGGCCAAACTATTTTTAAATTAAAGGATAATTAAAATATTGAAGATTTAAAAAAAAGACAAGGATTGTTGGAGGAGCAGCCATAACCCTTTAGCCATTTCAAGTCAAATTTGGCCACAATATACATGTATATATTTATAACTCATTGAAAATACTAAAAAAAAAAAACAAAGTTTTACATGTCAAATTTTGATTTGCAAATAAGGAGGAATAAAAGGAAAGTTACAGAAAAGGTTATAGTGTAACTGCCTCGCTCTGAATATTTAGAGTAATTTAGAATATTATTATTGTTAACTAAAAATAAATTAAAGTAATTAAAGCCACCAAAATATTTGAAAAAAAATAAATCAGTGATGGAGTAAAGTAGCAGCAAGTTGTGGCGAAATGGGTACTGACCAAAACGGCTTTATGGGCCGGAACAGGTACAAGGGGCTCGGCGGTGTCGGCAGAGCCATCGTCCGAGGCAAACAGATGGACGTCGGGGAAGGAAGCCGGCTGGGACGTCGTGAGAAAAGCGACCTTGGCCTTGAGGACCTCGTGGCGCTGCTTGCACGTGGCGGCATCATATCCCTCGGATATGGCCTCGCAAGACATGCACCTACTCATGTTGGGTACTCAACGATAAATAACAAGAAGATAAGATTTTTTAAAAGCAAACGTAATTTTATAGATTGATCATCGTGCTGCTTGCCCTGCCTTATATTTAGTAGCAAATCTTGCTATGGAAGGAGTCCGCCACTCCTCCGTTCGGAAGGAATCCGCCATTTTGCTTTTGGAGGGGTCCGTCACTTTCTACTTAGGACCACCTTGATTACTTGTGAGAAAAGTAGTTATCCCTGCCCTCTATGTTCTGTGTTTAAAAGGAAAACTTTTAAAAAGTTTAAAAAATTACTTTTGATAAAATTTCATGTTTTATTTTAGTTTATTTAAAATTTATCTAATATATATTTTAAACAACTACTTGAAAATATTTGCAAAAAAAAAAGTAAAAAAAAAAGGGAATATTGAAAGATGGGGATACAGGGGGTTAGGCTCCATTTGTTGGAAATTATAGCTTGTGTTATCATAAAAGTGAGAAATCTTAATTATGTGGTTTACTCATGTTATAACACATGGACGAGTTGTACTATGTAACCGTATTCCAATATCATACAATAATTTCTTTTATTTATGGAAGAATTTTTCTGCTTTTAGTAGTTAGTTTTAACCGACATCCAACCAATATAATACATGAACTTCTAGTTGATCCCAGTTTGAATAATTTTTTTTGGTCGACAAGAAATTTCATTTAAAAAATAAAGGAATGCAACATTTATTATTATTATTACTTCCTTTATGTATATCAAATGCACCCAATAGGATGGTCAAATGTGCACAATTTAACACACATGCCATGCTATCAACTGTATGAAAGTGATGTGGAAACTAAACTTCAGCTATGAAAGGCTGAAAATTGAGAATATTAAGGGTAGTAAAGTTTTACCAGTTTTATTTTAAAACTAAAAAATCAAACAGAAAGGTAATGAAGTTACAACAACAGACAATCAAAATTCATCCCTCATAGTCATTGGCAGAACCAGTAAAAAAGGGCTGCCATGGGCTCTAGCCCAGGTAGCTCTTTTGAAAATTAAAATATACTACATGTATTTCAATGTGATTTATCCCATAAAAGCTTATAAACATTCATGACTTTTAACTCTTTACATTCTCCTATTTTCTCTATATGTTTTCTTAATATGTCGTCAATATTCTTAACGGCCATCATATCACCTTATACAATTATCAAAAAACAACGTGTTATTATGGAATTTTTCTTGATTACACTAAAAAAAAGGAGGCAAAGGTCACCTTTTTAAAGTAATCAAATTAGTATTGGTGACAATTTAATGGCTGGTCAATGCTTTTGTTTACTCCTCTCTATTATTTGTGACTAAGTCTGTCACACTCACACTTTAATACTTTGATGACATTTGATTTAAATATAATTAATATAATTAATTAGAGTGTTGCTAAACGAATCCTAAAATTAACTGAGTACACCTTATGATTTAAGTACACCCTAATATTTAGATCAAAATGTAAAATTAACTAAGTACACCCCATCTAACTATCAAAAATACCCATTGTACACCCTAAGACACTCTATCACACAACACCAAACGCACAAATAAATTATAATGCGGATAAAATTTTCATTTACTTGGTGATGGTTCTTAATTAGCCTCCTGGGCAATGCTCAACTTGGCATAAAGATCCAAAATTGCACTTCCCACAATGACATACGAATGCAAACCTATATTTGTTGCACATGCATGAAGTTGTTGCTTGCTTATGTTTAGGTCTCCAAGTGCAATTATGGGAAGATAAGAAGCTGAAGAACCAGTGGCGGATGGACAGAGGGACTAGAGGGGTCAAGGGACCCCATGGATGGCTGTAAAATAGCTATGAAGGTCCTCACATGGCCCCCATGGATGGCTGGAAAGTCCTGCAATTTGGACAACATGCAGGCTGCAAAGGAGATGGAGAAAGAAGAGGACACGCTTGTCTTTTTGGCCAAAACGACGTCGTTTTGGCCCAGGCAGATTTAATTTTTTTTTAAATGACTTGGCCCAAAACGACACTGTTCTCTCTTCTCTCTCTTTCTTTTTTCTTTATTTTTTATATTTAAGTGGGTCGAGGAGGAAAATCAGAAAAAATGGGTGTGTAGCTTGAGGTTAAAAGCCAGAAAACATTAGTTTTAAATAATTTGATAGGAAATGACTTATTTGTCCTTAAAAAATGCGTCAATGCCACGACTGCGAAAAAACCTTCTCTGCTGCTGCTTTATCAACCTGTTTAGAGAGATAAGCTTCATAGATTTCGAATACAAGTTGTGGATCTTTCTCCTTCAGTTCAGCATACTCCTCCCGGGCAGTAAGCTTGTCCATGTTGTCTATGATCAACGTCAAGGCTGCATGGATGACCGGCTTAGCGTTATGCTGGTGCGCAAAGGTGTAGGTCAAAAGTGAATTGTCCAAGTTGAGGTTGGACACCAAGAACTTCTGGCAGTAGTTTTTGAGATGTTGCACCTGGTATATTTCAGCCATTACTAGGAGGTCACATGCCAATTGCTTGTCAAGGCATACCTCAGCTGTGTATAGGTAGTTCACAAAGGTATAAAGGGCGCCGTAGGACACTTCGCCAATCTTGATGATGCCGCTCCGGCTTTCTTCCATCTCATTTTCAAGCATAGCTCTCAACACTGGAGAACGGCTCACCTAACACACATTATATAAATCACATTTGCTAATAAATCATTCATCTGCCTACAAATAAATCACATCTCACATCACACGTGACATATGTAGTATATAAATAACTCGTAATAAAACACACAATATTTTCTTTTAGTCACATGTCTCTACAAAAAAAATAAAAATAAAAATAAAAATTGAAGTTCGGAACCTTTGATTTGCCTAGAAATAAACAATAATAGTCACAAATCGTGGAACAAAAATCAGAGATGATGTAAAGTAGCAAGTTAGCTGAATGGATACGGACCAAAACGGCCTTATGGGCCGGAACGGGTCGAGCGGCCTCTTTGTCGTCGGAGGCAAACAGAAAGATGTCGGAGAAGGAAGATGGATGGGTCGTCGTGAGAAAAGCAAGCTTGGCCTTGTGGTCCTCGTGGCACTGCTTGCACGTGCCGGCGTCATCTCCGTTGTATATGCCCTCGCAAGATATGCACCTCATGTCGAAGATAAGAAATTTAAAGCAAAATGTAATTTTAATTTTCATGCATTGATCATTGTGCAGCCTGCCCTGCCTGCCTTATATATTAGTAGCTACCTTCACTGGACGGTTCACTTTTCTTTTTCTTTGGTTTACTATTAATTATTGGACTCCTTCCGGAGGAAGTTCGCCACTTTGCTTTGTAAGGGCCCCGCAACTCTGCTTTTATCTGTATCTAGGAGATGAAAAGATTGAGGATGATGTTGATTCATCTTTCATGATATAAATAAAGGCAGTAGTAAAATGAATTGTAGCTCAATTGGTTACGAACAATTACTTATATGATATCGATATTTTGTCCATCATTACTTATATGATCTCGATATTTTGTCCATCATGGTCTTGAATTTAAATAAATATATTATTGTCACAATCGTTCATAAATTGATCATTGTGCTGCTTGCCCTGCCTTATATTGATAGGAAGGAGTTGGCCACTTTGCTTTGGAATGGGTCCGCCATCAAGGATGATGTTGATTTATCTTTCGGGATATATTAATGGCAATTGAATTGCATAAAATAATAGCTCAATCTTATTGAAGCGGATAGTAGACAATGATGCCAATTGAATTGCATAAAATAATGGATGATAATCCATAAAACTCCTATTATAATTATATTTTTTTTACTTTTTAATTTATTTTTTTTTTGCGCGTGAAAGTGGGAATTCATTGAAAAACATTGACAATTACAGAGAATTGAAACATCAATGCCTTCTCAACAAGGAGGCTTTCACCCAACTCAAATGTTACATTACAAGCACAAAGACTTGAAGCAATGAGCCAACATAAAAAAACATTAAACTTAGCTCACTAGAAGCCAAATACATAAACAAACAGAGCATAATTCTCATGTAAATTATGCCAAATCAAACCCAGCAATCGGCAAACAACTCTACTTTTGCCAGTATTTGGAAAAGAGGACAATAACAGTAAGAGAAAGAGCATATCCACTATCTTCCTCCAGACACTCGTACAAGCATCACAACACCATCATTTCTCCACCAGGTCACAACACCCAAACTCTGACAGTAGACATTGGCTTCTCCTCCAGAAGATAACCCCAAGCCTCCAGAAAGTAGAAACAAAAAGCCCATAGCTAAAAAGGAGATATGTTCCATATACAAATAGGAGCACCACTAGATCTTGACATATTTAAATTAAATAATATGCCTAGCTAAGGGAGAAAACACTTGAACTAAAGAGAGATGGGAGAAAGTATTGCCTAATGCTCCAACTACTCCCAAGTAATTTTTACCTAAACTTCTCCCAAAAACAACTCCTTCAGCATATTTTGTCCCAATCTTTTTTCTTTTCTTTTTTTAATTTAAAGGATAATTAAATATTGAAGATTAACACACAAAAAAATTACAAGCATTGTTGGAGGAGCATTTACAAGTGCCTAGTAATTACAGTAACTCATTCGGCACCATCACCGTCACCGTCGTCACTGTAAGACGTAGAAGAAACCGTGCGCACACAGGAAAATGAAGAATGTCTGGAGAGAAAGCGGATCTTTCTCCTTGAGCTTGGCGTACTCCTTCCCGGAAGTAAGCTTGTCCATGTTGTCTGTGATCACTATTAAGGCCGCGTCAATGATCTGCTTGGCATTATGCCGGTGCGCTAAGGTGTAGGTCGAAAGTGAATTGTCCCAGTTGAGGTTGGCCACCAAGAACTTCTGGCAGTAGTCTTTAAGATGCTGCACCTGGTATTTTTCAGCCATTACAAAGAGGAAACAGGAGAATTGCTGGTCAAGGCGTACCTCAGCAGTGTAGAGGTAGTTGACAAAGGCACCAAGGGTGCGGTTGGACACTTCGCCAATCTTGATGGTGCCGCTCAGGCTTTCTTCCATCTCATTCTCAAACATGGCTCTAAACACCGGAGAACGGCTCACCTGAAAAACATGTTGTTCAAAACAACTTTAATATCGCAACACCCTTCATATATATAATCAATCAAACAAGTTTTTCCAAAGAAATTATAATAACGCATTGGCCATTCAAGTCAATCAAATTTAGCATTCATCGGATCGACCTACAAATAAATCACATCTCTCATAAAAAAATAAAAATATACAAATAAAGTCACCAAATTGTTGAGAGTAAAAAACAATGATGAAGTAAAGTAGTGAGTTGGCGGAATGGATACTCACCAAAACGGCCTTATGGGCCGGGACGGGACCAGAGGCCTCGTCGTCGGAGGCAAACAGAACGACGTCGGAGAAGGAAGCCGGGTGGGTGGCCCCGAGAAAAGCGACCTTGGCCTTGTGGTGCTCGTGGCACTGCTTGCAGGTATCGGCGTAATAATCTTGGAAGCAGCTCTCGCAAGATTTGCACCTCATGTTGAAGAGAAGAAATTCAAAGCAAATGTAATTTCACGCATTCATCATCGTGCTGCCCTGCCTTTAGTAGCTTAATTATTGGACGGAGTTCGCCACTTTGCTTTGGAAGGGGCCCTCCCACACTGCCTTCTATCTATATCTAGCCTTCTTGTGTGAGATATGAAAAAAATCAAGGACGATGTTGAATCATCTTCCAGGATAAACACAAAGACAATATTGATTTAAAAATTTGAAGAATGAAATGATAACTTTTAAAAAGTTCAAAAAATTACTTGTGATAAAATTTCATGTTTTATTTTAGTATATATATATATATATATTTTAACAACTTCTTGAAAATATTTGCAAAAAAAAACAAGGAATATTGAAAGATGGGGAATTTAGGGTTAGGCTCCATTTATTGATAATTATAGCTCGTGTTACCATAAAAGTGAGAAATTTTAATCATATAGGCTATCTATGTTATAACACATGAATGAATTATACTATGTAGTCGTATTCCAGTATCATACAGTAATTTCTCCTATTTATGAAAGAATGTTTCCGCTTTTAGTAGTTAGTTTTAACTGATATCCCCAACCAATATAATACATGGGCTTCTAGTTGATCCCAGTTTGAAATTTTTTTTTTGTCGATAAGAAATTTCATTTAAAATAAATAAAGGAATGCAAACTATGGATGGTCAAATGCAACATTTATTATTATGATTACTTCCTTTATGTATATCAAATGCACACAATAGGATGGTCAAATGTGCACAATTTAACACACATGCCATGCTATTAAAATTCCTGTTTTCATTACCTTTGTTTCGAATTGTGCACACAAACAGGGCATGATGGACTTTCCAGCACTGCATTAGCTGTTGAACAACTTTCCCAATCTATTGTCTATGCAAATAGCTGACAAATAATGCCACATCATATGGAGTCGGGATACAACAAACATACGGAAACACTATGAAAGTGATGCAGAAACTAAACTTCAGCTATGAAAGGCTGAAAAGGGTAGTAAATTGTTACCAGTTTTATTTTAAAACTAAAAAATGTTACCAAACCAATCTTCACATTTTCAGTTTTTTCACAAATGAAAATTGAAAACAAACTGAAATGGTGATCAAACATAAAGGTAATGAAGTTACAACAACAGATAATCAAAATTCATCCTCATAGTCATTGGCGGAACCGGTAAAAAAGGGCTGCCATGGGCTCTGGCCCAGGTAGCTCTTTTGAAAATTAAAATATAGTACATGTATTTCAATGTGATTTATCCCATAAAAGCTTATAAACATTCATGACTTTAACTCTTTACATTCTCCTATTTTCTCTATATATTTTATTAATATGTCGTAAATATTCTCAACGGCCATCATATCACCCTATACAATTATCAAAAACGACGTGTTATTATGGAATTTTGCTTGATTACACTTTTTTTTTTTAAAGGAGGCAAAGGTCATCTTTTTAAAGTAACCAAATTAGTGTCTGTAACACTTTAATACTATTTGGTGACATTTTTTATTTAAATATAATAAATATATAATTAATTATTGTGATTAACATCTAAAACAGTAATTTTCATGGCTAATTTTTATTATGGCCTTCTTCATTCTCTCTGAGCGGTCTCTCTCCCAACCAAAATAAATCAACCACGCATTGTCTCAGTGACCTTCGACTGGAGAACACGATATCTCGGAGTATGAGATCTTTCGTTCATCAATTTGTTGGCGAGATCAAATCTCGAATCTGAGAGCTAGAGTGCGCTTGCTTCTCTGGATCATATTTTCGAAATATCTCTCTCCAAACTCTATCCCAATGTCACTATAGTGTGTGTCTCTCTCTCTCTCTCTCTCTCTCTCATATTTTGATTCAAATAGTGCCCTTTACTTTGCTGTTCGACTCCTGAAACAAGAAACGCAGGGCAGAGCAACCAGAGTTTCTTCCACCACAACCCAGAGGTATTCGCCGATCCCACTTCTGAATTTTTAAAAGAACAACGATTCTTTCAAATTCCATTTTGGGTTTTTTTTTGTTGGTTTTTTCCCTTTGGCAGGTTCTCTATGATATTTTTTTATGCTCCTTTTGCAGGTTTTTTTAATGGAAATATAGTCCAATCGTGAAATTTCTCTTTCATCTAATTTTAGTTGTATTTTTTTGTTTATAATCTTAGCATTTTTTAGTTGTCATTTTGATTTCTTTACAGTGATGATGGAGGAGACTTCAATTGTTCATTATTTGCATGTTTGGATAAGAGGAAGGCTTGGATTAGGAGTACTAGATGTAAGTCTTGTTAGATGTCTGTATTGTACTACTTAATTACTATTAGCCTCTCCGCACGCGCTTCTACGCTTGCAAGAAGTTTTTTTTTTTTTTAAATAAAAAAATTAAATTTATTTTAGAATTAAAAAAATAATGGGTAGTTGTGTTCCATAAAAATATGATCCATTATCTTAATTTTCTTTTAATTTTAATTTTTTAAATATGAAAAGTGTGAATTTAATATATTATCCTCATTTAATTAATAATTTCAATTCTTAATATTTGCATTAACCAAGAGCATTTTATGATATTTTGAATGTTTCATCATTCTCTGTTTTTTACTTTATATATATAGATTATGTATAATATTTATATTTAATTAAATTTTAATATTAGATTGGTTTTTTATCACATGAATTGCATTACCGAAGAATTATTGTTATTATCTTATCAGGAAAAAATTGAATTATTGTTGTTATGCGATTTAAATATATCAAATGGAAATTGTAATTATTTAAAACGTATATATAATTCAGAAAATAATTAGCCTAATCAAAGATTAAAATAATAATAAAATATAAGTCTAAAGGCAGCTGGAAAGTCAACATAATGTTGTCTACTTTTCTCTATTAATGGTGACAAAAGCCAATTATCACGCCCGCAAATCTCACCAACGTGTCACGGCTACCTGACACCAAGCCGCGCGCGGTTTCCAAGAAGAGTAGCTTGTTTGGAGAAATAAGCTTCATATATTTCGAATATGAGTCGCGGATCTCTCTCCTTGAGCTCCTCATACTCCTTCCGGGCAGAAAGCTTGTCCATGTTGTTTGTGATCAACGCCAAGGCTGCATCGTTGATCTGCTTGGCATCATGCTGGTGTGCACAGGTATATATCATAAATGCATTGTCCCAGTTGAGGTTGGCCACCAAGAACTTCTGGCACAAGTCTTTGAGATGCGGCACCTGGTATTTGTCAGCCATTACTAGGAGATCACAGGCCAATTGCTGGGGCGTACCTCAGCAGTGTAGAGGTAGTTGACAAAGGCACCAAGGGTGCGGTTGGACACTTCGCCAATCTTGATGGTGCCGCTCAGGCTTTCTTCCATCTCATTCTCAAGCATGGCTCTCAACACTGGAGAACGATCCCCCTGATCCAGTGCCAGCCAAAATATACATATTGCTTAATAGGAATTCAAAGAGTGCATTGAACAAACCAGCTAGATAAGACCATTCAAGATGAAAAATATTCCCGTTTACTGATAAATCATTCCTCCATTTGCAAGTCACATAATCTGATTTGTGTGCATATATATATTAATACCTCCTTAAAAATTAATACAAAAAACAAGGTTTTTACATTTCAAAATTTTCTTTTTAAATAAGGAGGAATAAAAATAAAATTACAGACGAGATCCCGCCCTTTACACTCGAGTTCAGTCTTTCTTTGAATATTATAGTAATTAGAATATTATTATTGTAAAAAATAAATTAAAATAAAGCCACCGAAATGTTTGAACATACATAAAAAACAACAGTGACGAAGTAAAGTAGCAGCAAGTTAGCGAAATGGGTACTGACCAAAACGGCCTTTTGGGCCGGAATGGGTACAGGGTTCTCGTCGGAGGAGGCAAACAGAATGACGTCGGAAAAGAAAGCCGGCTGGGACATCGTGAGAAAAGCGACCTTGGCCTTGAGGTCCTCGTGGCACTGCTTGCAGCAGGTGCCGGCCTCATATCCGCCCTCGCAAGATATGCACCTCCTCATGTTCATGTTGTTGGGGTACTCAAAGATAAATAACAACAAGAGAAGAAATATTATGCTGACAAAAATAAAAAATTAAAACAAGAGGAAGAAATTTAAAGCAAATGTAATTTCATCGACTGATCATTGTGCTGCCTGCCTGGCCCTGCCTTATATAAGTAGCCAGCTAGCTTCATTGGACTCTTCTACATTTCTTTTTCTTTGGTAAACCCCTTCCTCTGCAAGGAGTCGGCCACTTTGCTTTGGAAGGGTCCCGCCATTCTGCTTTCTATCTAGGAGGATGTTGATTCATCTGCTACATTAAAATTAAAAGATAATAATAAAGACAATATTGATTGATTTAAAAATTTAAAGATGAAAATGACATTTTAAAAAGTTTAAAAGGATTATTTGCAGTGTCATTTCCTTCCTTATTTTTAGTTTGTTTAAATTATATTTATATTTGGCAACGGAGATTAGCTGAGTGAAAAAAACTTTTGACTATCAGATTAGTAATATTATGTTCGAACGCTTATGGCATATTGGCACTATGTGTGAGAAAATCCCTTTCCATTCCTAAGCAGTTTGGCCCCAAAAAAAAAAATCTATATTTTAAACAACTTCTTGAACTTTATAAATAAATAAAAGTAATATTGGAAGATGAGGAATACGGCGAGGCTCCATTTGTGGAAGAATTTTTTCACTATTAATTGGTACTTGAGTTTTAACCAATGTACATGAATGAACTTCTAGTTTATCCCAATTTGAAGATTTTTTTTTTTGGGTGACATATATTTTGGGGCGTAGTTTGCCAAGTTTTATCCATTGATCATCTCTGCCTTATTAGTAGCTTCATTGGGTTTTCACTTTCTTTTTTTTGGGTGGTCATTATTAATTATTGGACTCCTTTGGAAGGAGTTCGCCACTTTGCTTTAGAAGGGGCCCCCACACTGCTTTCTATCTATATCTAGTCTTTTTTTGTGAGATATATGTAGAGAGATTCTCTATTTAAATCTCACACTTTTCTTTATTCACCTTAATATTTAAAGGGCAATGATTTCCCCTCTCCTATTTTATCCACTTACACTCCTTTTTTATAAATAAAAAAGGAGTGTAAGTGGATAAAATAGGAGAAAAAAGAGTGGGGAAATCACCACTCTATTTAAATCATTAAGTTGTAAGTTTTATTATTGTGTAAAAATATAAAAAAGTTCATTCAACTTAATATTTAACCCTAATACATCTATACACACACTCCACCACTCTTCATATTAAGTTTTAGAAAAATACTAACTTCTCTAAATCCTATTACCATATTACTCTTCTCTTTTAAAAACTTAGAATGTTAAGGAGCCTACCTCTTTAAAAGCTGCGTGAGAACTGATGGAAAGGCTTATTGATTGCTTGGCTATAATGATCTTATTCTCTTCCCGTTGTTGATTACTTAGCTGATGGAAAGGTTTGTTGATTGCTTGGTTGTTTTAATATTTTATTTAAGAGTAATGCTACACTTACCACATTTTTATCCCACATTTCTATACCACATGATGTGGCATATCCATATCATATATCACATCAATTAAATGAATAAAGTGTATTTTAATAAATAAAATTAGAAAAACAGAAACTAGTATTTTACATGATGTGACATGTACACATCAGCTGCCACATCATGTGGTATTAAAATGTGGTATAAAAAATGTGATAAGACTAGTATTATAAATTTATATTTACTTGACTTCTTATATGCTCAAAAGTAAACGATAAATGATTATTGTACCTTCCGTTGGGTAAAAAATAAAATAAGATGTTGTGGTCATTGGATTTCACTGTCATTAGAAAACGTAACCCAACAAACTATAATTTCCCATATGATCTAATCACATGATAAAAACAGCCTTGTGAAAACGACAAGGAGTGAACAAAGAAATATGTGGGGTTTAAATAGAAAAATTCGTTTATTTTTTATGTTTTCAGCTAAGGGTGTATTTAAGGGTAGTTTGAGAAGATAATGGGGTTTTCTTAGAAATTCTGAAAATTTAAATTAGAAGCTGAGGTGAATAAAAAGAAGTGTGAGGTTTAAATAGAAAACCTCTATGTAAAAATCAAGGACGATATTGATTCTCTTCGAGCATAAAATTAAGACAATATTGATTTGAAAATTAAAGAATAAAATGTAAAATTTTAAAAAGTTAAAAAAAAAATACTTGCGATAAAATTTTAATCTATTTAATCAAATATATATTTTAAGCAAGAATTTCTCTTTGACCCTCTAAGGTTTGGCATAATTACAGTCAGACCTCAAATATATATTGTAGGCTTAAATGTCAAAATGGTCCTTGTGTTTTACCTTATCAGCCAATTTAGTCCATGTATTATTAATTTAGCCAATTTAGTCCTTGTGTTTGTATCCGTTAATAAATTTGATCATTTACGTCAAAATTATGTTAAAACACATAAAAAAAAAAGAACACTTAAATTTAATTTAAAATTTTGTAATCTATATATATAAAGCAAAAGGCAGAGAATGATGAAACATTCAAAATGCCACAAAATACCCTTGGTTAATGCAAACATTAAGAATTGAAATTATTAATTAAACGAGGATAATATTGTAAATTCACACTTTTTCATATTTAAATTAAATTAAATTAAAAGAAAAATCAAATAATGAATCCTATTTTTATGGAACATAACTACCTATGTTATATTTTCTTAATTCTAAAAATAAAATAAAAAATAAAAAATAAAACCAATTGGCACATGCGTGATAGTTAATTATAAAGATTTAAACTCAAATAATAAAAATAATGTTAAAATGATTAAAACCCACATAACCTCAACCTCCAATGGCCTCGATTCCTGTAGGAAAAAAAAATGGGTTTCTTAGTCGAATTGATGTCTACTCTTTTCTTGCTACAATTTTTGTTCTCTTTTATGTTTAAGATTTTCTCATACTCTATCCTTCATCTCTCTCTCCTCTCCGATCCATTGGCTTGAATGTCATCGACTTTTGCTGCAGTGAGGATGATCAATTGGCGGTAGAGCCATCAAGGTTACGGTGACCGACTATAAAGATCTTCGTGATTTGTCACATAGAGAGAGAGAGAGAGAGAGAGAGAGAGAGAGAGAGAGAGAGGGAGAGAGTTGTAGTGGTTTAGGGGGGTTGGAATGGTGGTGAGGGTGGAAATGGGTTTGGGGTGGTGGTGGTGAGGGTGGCTGGATTTGGAAGGTGGTTGGGTTGTGTGTGCGAAATTGGGGAAGGTGAAATTAAAAAAAAAATTCCAATTTTAGATTGAATTAAAAAATTTATAATCAATTATAGTTTTTTTAATTAACTTTAAATATTTTATATTTTATATTTTTAAGGGAATGGACCACATTGACTAACATATTCAACTACAAAGGACTAAATTGGCCTATCAAGCATTGTGCCATTGTGTGTTAGCTTGTTTGGAAAAATAAGCTTCATAGATTTCTAATAAGAGTCCCGGATCTCTCTCCTTCAGCACCGTGTACTCGTCCCGGGAAGCAAGCTTGTCCATGCTGGCTGTGATCAGCGTCAAGGCTGCGTCGATGATCGGCTTAAAGTTATGCTGGTGCGCAAAGGTGTAGGTCGAAAGTGAATTGTCCAAGTTGAGGTTGGACACCAAGAACTTCTGGCAGAAGTCTTTGAGATGCTGCACCTGGTATTTTTCAGACATTACAAGGAGCTCACAGGCCAATTGCTGGTCGAGGCATACCTCAGCTGTGTAGAGGAAGTTGACGAAGGCGCGAAGGGCGTCGTAGGAGACATCGCCAATCTTGATGGTGCCACTCAGGCTTTCTTTCATCTCATTATCAAGCAAGCATGGCTCTCAACACTGGAGAACGGTTCGCCTGATCCAGTGAACGCCAAAATACATAATATTTAAGAGGAATTCAAAGAGTTCATTGAACAAAAACCAGCTAGAAGAATAATCTTTCCCCAAAAACCAGCTAGTAGCTTAGCCATGAGAGAGAGAAAATGACTCTGGCCAAATTATTCCAATACTACAATTTCTGTATAGCCAAATCTTTTTTAAATTTAAAAAATAATTAAATATTGAAGATTAACATAAAAAAACCCCTTTAGCCATTTCAGGTCAAATTTAGCTAAGTTTTGCCCAACTGTGCCGGGAGTTTCTTTGGAGCAAATGATCGAACAGCTGGTGGGCAACAACAGAGGGGCAGGCCAGGTTACAGTTTGAGCAAAAATTAAGTGATCAAGTAAAGTAGCAGCAAGTTAGCGAAATGGGTACTGACCAAAACGGCCTTATGGGCCGGAACGGGTACGGGGTACTCGTCGTCGTCGTCGGCAAACAGAACGACGTCGGAAAAGGAAGCCGGCTGGGGCATCGTGAGAAAAGCGAGCTTGGCGTTGAGGTCCTTGTTGCACTGCTCGACCTTGGCCTTGAGGTCCTCGTAGCACTGCCTGCACGCGCTGCCCTGATATTTGGAGTACATGATCTGGCAAGATATGCAGGTCCTCATGTTGGGGTAGTCAAAGATAAAATCAACAAGAGAAGAAATTTAAAGCAAATGTAATTTCAATTTTCATGCATTGATCATTGGGCTGCCTGCCCTGCCTTATATATTAATAGCTAGCTAGCTTCATTGGGCTCTTTCACTTTTCTTTTCCTTTGGAAAGGTCCCGCCACTACGCTTCAATATCATTTGTAGAAAAATAAATAAATAATAATAGTAAAGATAATATTGATTGAGTTTAAAATTTAAAATGACATTTTCTAAAAATTGTAAAAAAAATTATTTGCAATAACATTTCATATTTTTATTTTTAGTTTGTTAAAAATTAATATATTTGTCAATAGGGACTAGCCGAGTATAAAAAAAACACTGACTTGCAGATCAATGATCTTAACCTTTATGACATCTTTGTAGTGTGTATGAGAAAACTCCCATTCTCCTTCCTAACTTTGGAAAAAAAAAATTATTATATCTATATTTTAAACTACTTATTCAAAATCGTGGAAAAAAAAAAACAGACAAGTAATATTGGAAGTTAAGGAGTACGGTGAGGCTCCATTTATGAAGAATTGTTTTCACTATTGGTACTTGAATTTTAACCGGTGTACATGAACTTCTAGTTTATCCCAAGTTGAAGTTCTCTTTTTGTCGATAAGAAATTTTTTTTTTTTTTTCAAAAGGACAAACAATAGGATGGGTCAAATGCAAAACTCTGTCAAAAGTGTCACATAAACATTTAACGACTAGAAATAACATCTCACATCACTCCAACTGATGTGTCAAAGCTGATGTGGAATGAAGGCTAAAGGTTGAGATGTTATTTTTGACATCCCCAAAGCAAGATGTCAAATGAATATTTTATTATTATTTCTTTTCTTTTATTTTCTTTTTAATTAAAAATAAATCAACACTCAAATGTAATAAATTAATAATTTAATTTGACATATCAGGCGGAGTGTAAAGCCGTGTAAGATGTCAAATTACACATCAGCCATCAAATTTAAATTTGATGTTTGATATTTGATATATCCCTTAGAGCATCTCCAAGGGAGATGTCAAATACCAAACATCAAATTTAAATTTGATGGTTGATGTGGCTATTTGACATCTTACACAGCTTTACACTCCACCCGATATGTCAAATTAAATTATTAAATTATTACATTTTAGTGTTGATTTATTTTTAATTAAAAAGAAAAGAAAAGAAAAAATAATAAAATATTCATTTGACATCTTACTTTTGAGATGTCAAAAATAACATCTCAACCTCCAGCCTTCATTCCACATCAGCTTTGACACATCGATTGGAGTGATGTGAGATGTTATTTCTAGCTGTTAAAGGTCTATGTGGCACTTTTGACACATCGGTTGGAGATGCTCTTAGAGATGAGTACATCAAATGCACACAATAGGATCGATGGTCAAATGTGCACACACAGGGCATGATGCCCTTTCCAGCACTGCATTACATTAGCTGTTGAACAACTTTCACATAGAATAGAGACAATCTGCACACAGATCATTAACTTAATGACAAATTATGCCACCAGATCCAGTCCAGAGTAACAAAAGCTAGCTCCAATTATGCCACCGGTAAGAATAAGAAAGGCTCCAAAATGCTCATTTGAAAGCAAAGACCACATGCATCCAATTTATGTTCCATGTGCTACAACAAAATTTGCCACCTGATATTTGTATATTTTTTAGTTCATCTATACTAAATATACAGAGAAAACGAACACTGATCGAAAGCTCAGGTCAGGATAACAGGAAATTCCTCACTAGACTATGTCTTCAGGGAAGAATCTTTCTGGGCAGCAGTATTGACCTGTTTGGAGAGATAAGCTTCATATATTTCAACTACGAGTCGTGGATCTTTCTCCACTAGCTCCACGTACTCCTCCCGGGTAGTAAGCTTGTCCATGTTGTCTGTGATCAATGTCAAGGCTGCGTCGGTGATATGCTTGGCATTGTGCTGGTGCCCAAAGGTGTAGCTCATAACTGAATTGTCCCAGTTCAGCTTGGACACCAAGAACTTTTCACAATAGTCCTTGAGATGCTGCACCTGGTATTTTTCAGCCAGTATTAGCAGGTGGCAGGCCATGTCCTCATCAAGGCATACCTCAGCTGTGTACAGGTAGTTGACAAACGCGCGAAGGGCATCGTAGGACACATCGCCAATCTTAATGGTGCCACTCAGGCTTTCTTCCATCTCATTCTCAAGCATGGCTCTAAACACCGGAGAACGGCTCACCTGGATAAGTGTCAAAATGTTTAAAGAAATTCAGAGATGAACCAAAAAGGGACATATTTCCAAGGAACACGTGATCTAATCCAAATTGAAAGTCTTTCTACATGAACAATAACAACAACAAACACAAAACGAAGACCAATGCTCATAGATTCATAGCACAGTGTATATAATCAATCAAGTTTTGCCTAATACCTAATGAAAATAGTCCAACCCAAATTTACACATTCATGAAAAACCCAAAATTGATCAAAGATTCAAAATACTTGAACTACTGAGAAGGAAAAATTTTCTCCGGAGAAACAAAATAGTAAAGGGCAGGAACTTGAATGTACATTTCTAACAATCCACACACAGAAGACACACAAGTTGACAATCACATTAAGACAATACCCTGCCAAAAGAGCCATATATCATTCTCTTCTCAAGCTAACAATTTTCCAGTTCTATGTAAACATGCTACATTTCATTCAGACAATAAACCAAACACAAGGTGCGCAAACTAAAAGGAACAAAACCCACAAATCCACCAAGAATTTACAACAAAACGGGGCCAATCAATCAACTTGGCGAAATGGGTACTGACCAAAACGGCCTTATGGGCCGGAACGGGTACAGGGGCCCCCGCGGAGGCATCCTCGGAGGCAACCAAAACGACGTCGGAGAAGGAAGCGGGGTGAGACCTAGCGCTAGGAGTTGGGGACCAGAACTTGAGGAAGGCGACCTTGGCCTTGAGTTCGTCGATCTCGCGCTTCAGCTCCTCTTCGGTCTCGTTGGCCTCCTCGTAGCACTCCTTGCACGTGCCGGCGTCATCTTCGTCGTAGAGATCCTGGCACGATATGCAGTACTTCATCTGATCGCAAAACTGATACACAGCACTTCAGCTCCTCTGCTCGCTTTTCCTACTCAAGTGAAAGTGACGAATCGAACAAAGCTCCGGTGGTGCTGATATGGCTTTGACAGCTATTGACTCTTTCGAGGAATGTGTATATTAGTCTAAAATAGTTTACACATAAAAGGTGACAACTTAGCTACCGTGTTTAAACTTGACGGATGAAAATGACTCTCAATTTGACACACTATGATTAACAATGAGAAAATAGGTAGGTCGGTATGCTATTTCCATCCCGCCTTAATACACGCAATACTCAATTCGACCAAAAATATATACATATATGAACGCAAAAAGCATTATGAGCACAACATATTGAACACTATACTCGAAAATATCTCTAAATCCGTCTATATATTCAATTTTTTTCCTTCACACCCAACTCATTAGAAATAAAACTGATGAAAATTCTAGCTCCAGGATTCATTTTTAGATATGAGAAATTGAGTTATGGGGACGGATTTGGTGGAATGAAATACAATGTTAAGAGAAAGGCTTATTTACTGTAATGCCCCCTTAAATTACGGTCAAATTTCACTTTACCCCCTGAAAGTTAAAATGACTCAAAATGCCCCATTGACCAAGATTTGGTGGTTTACTTTGCCCCCCACCGTTAACTCTGTTAAAAATGCTGACATGGCATGAATGGAACCCGCCTTTTTGTTGAAATGTATGCCACGTGTGTAAAAATAAAATAAAATATTTTATTCTTAAAAAAATTTATAAAAATAATCTTTTTTCTCTCTTCACTTTCTCCCCTCCGCCTCCCCACCTCCCACCCACCACGACATACCAACCCCTACCTGCAAATCCACCTCAGTTTGAGAAAAATCATATTTGGGTTAATGTCCTGACAACTTACATAGAAATCTTTTTCATTTAAGTTTCAAAACTTTTGGGGATGAATCATCAATTTATCTGCTCCCCAATCCACATGCAAGTTCAGAAATCAAATTAAACCACTTGCGTCTTGCATTTTCAGTAGGTATTTCCAAGTCTCAAATGAAAAAGAAATCGAATCTCCTTCCAAATCAAACAGAAAATACCCAGAACCCATACCAAGTGAGGAGGTCGTTTTGGACCTTGAGCACCTTGGTGACGAGCTCGGGCAAAACTCGACGAAGCTTTCGGAGCTCCGAGATGACTGGTGGACCCTAGTGGTTCTGGATCTTGCGCAATGAGGGAGAGAAATGAGAGGAGTGTCGTGTCGGCAGGGTTGGATGATGAAGTGGACGGTGAGGATTGGGGGAGGTGTGGGTCCCATTTGGAGAGATCAAAGGGCTGAGATTAGAGGGCAGTGGTGGGGTATAAGAGGGAGGCATTTGGAGAAGAGGCCGCTGCGAACTGTGGGCGATTCTGTGAGGGCAGAGGTGGGGGTGTGTCGTGAGGGGTAGTTGTTTGGGCGGTGGGGAGCGGTCGAGTACAGAGAGAGAAAGAGGGAGAGAGATAAGATTTTCTAAATATTTTTTCCTATTTGTTAAATTTTTTTCCCATTGGCACTTATGTGGCATTCATTTTAGCAAAAGAATAGTCCCATTCATGCTATGTCAACGTTTTTAACAGAAGTTTTTTCCAGGGTTAACAATGGAGGTAAAGTGATCCACCAAACTTTGGTCAATGGGCATTTTGGGTCATTTTAACTTTTAAGAAGTAAAGTAAGATTTGACCGTAGTTTTAGGAGGCACTACAGTAAATAAGTCTAAGAGAAATTATACACTACTATTGTAGTACCAGTTGACATGACTGATTGATACTACAGTTGAATAAAATGTACTGCTGTTAACACCCCGTAACCATTGGAAAAAAAAAACACCTGTTAACCACCATTGGTGCAAACCAGAAATACTCGACACTACTACTTTCTCTGGGGCTGCGCCACCTGAGAGTGACGACGTCCCTATGGTGGCTTTAACCGATGTCCAAACTCGTCCATGCCCATCGCAGACTCACCGCCAAAAAGAAAAATAAAATAAAATAACAGACTTGGGAGTTTATCAAGTCACTTGCCCTATTCCTTATTGATTTTGGGCCTCAATTCAAAAGGTTAGGATAGGTTCCATCGGCCTCCACCATCATCTTAAGCTCTCACTAATTTTTTTTTTTTTTTCCATATTCTGCCATGAGCGGTGGCTGACAAAATAAAAAACAACAGTGGTGTTGGCTACAATTGAATCTTGCGATTGCATATTTCCCATGAAAATTGACGGCTTGTTGGTGGTGAGGTACCCAACCAACCCCTTGTGCCTCCCACTGGCCATGAATCAGTGCTTGGAGCTTATTTATTTGGGGTTATGACCCAAAGTCAAATAATAAAATTACACACAAAGTTTTCGATTTAAGACTGAAGCACTGAAGCAATTACGATATAAAGCCACCGTCGGATGACTTCAAGCTTTTGGCAAGGCCATCACAGAGTCTTGTTGTTGGTAATTAATCTCTCTGGTTTTTTTTTTTCCAGTCAGATAACCAGTCTGTTTGGTTAACGTTGATGCTAACGACGGTTTTGTTGATGTGTATAAGTTGTACGCATGTCCGAATTTCATTGGACCGTAGAACCAATCAGCAATGCCCGTTGGTACTACAGTAGTATTGTATAATTTCTCCAATTTTAGATCTTGTATTAGCGGAGCTCACATTACATCGATGTGAGTGTGACTAACTATTGACATACTCAGATATAGGAAACGACAAGTCGCTGTGATGACCAACCAACGTCGTAAACTGATTATTTATTATTATTATAACAAATAATTAATTTAATTAGAAAACCGGCCGAGTCGCAGTTAGTTGCTTCTGCGTCTGTCAAAGTTTAGAAATTCTGAGATAAGAGTGTAGTCTCTTATTCTACTGAACCAGGTCTCTCACAAGTCACAACAAACAGCCCTCGCTCCTCAGATTCTAGGGTTTCGATTCTCTTTTGGCGCCCAAATTGTCCTTTCAGGTCAGCTCTGTTCTCTCTCTCTCATGCTTTCTTTTAATCTTTAAGTTATGTTTAAATTTTGTTTATTTTGTCATCTCTTTGGTTGCCGAGAACATGCACGAACAGAAAATAAAACCAAGTCGTAATTTTAAGGTTCTCAGTGTGTTCGACCTAGGCATCAGATTACGTCTCAAAAAGGTGTCAAAAGATTTGGTCTTGGGTTTAGCTTAGCCGAATTTTACATTTCCCGAAGATACCCAAAGCAACTGAAAGCCTAAGACTTTGGAGTTTCATATTTTCTCGGCTACCCAACAGTAGGGGATTTTACTATGACGGCTTTGGCTGTGAATGTTTCCTGGTTTATTTTGTTGGTTTTCTGAAATTTGCTAAGTGCTAAAGATAATGGAATCTAGGTGGCTGCTGTGAAACCCTAGTTTTTCAAACTGTGACGTTTGAGAAATTTAGAGTTCTGTTTTGTAATGGAACTTGAAGAAGGAAAAAGCAATGGTGGTAGTACGGAGTGCACTGAGAAAGTTCAGTCCTTGACGAGTGAAGCCAATGGTGGTAGTACGGAGTGCACCGAGAAAGTTCAAACCTGGAAGAGTGAAGCCAATGATGGTAGTACGGAATGCACTGACAAAGCTCAATGCTTGAAGAGTGAAGCCAATGGATTTGAATTTAGGGTGTGTAAAAATTTTGCCAAAGGCCGCTCAGATGCAAGTGAGGTTGTTCGGACTTACAAGAGGCGGAGGCGTGCAGGGTCAAGTTGGGATAGCAGGTCACAAGAATATGGGGGAGCTGATGTGGAATCTTCAAGTCAATTGGCAGACCAGGTGCTAACTCTAGCTCTCTTCCTCTCTGCCAAAATTTGTGTTGACAGAAACCATATTTTTTATTTAATTAGCCAATTTGGAAACACGGACTGCAATATTCTAGTATGTTGGCTGATGTCCCACTGTTTCGAGTTGAATTTTAATGGAATTACACCTGAGCAATGGTAAGCTGTTTTTAATATAAACAGAAGAATCAGCTTATAAATGATACCAGTAATAACAAGGCTCATGAATTTTGGATCCATAGTGAATTTAAAATTTCGTTTATAACTCAGAACAATGAAAATTTGGTTGGCAATATAAACAAATAAACGTAACCATCAGTACTCTTCTCATTAGCGCATTTGAGAGCTCATTAGGCTATTTAGGGGAATTTGTTAGTACCACAGGTGGAAAATGAAAGAGGTTTATTTTACAGGGATAATTTTGAAAGGGAATTGATTGGTTGCAAATTGAAATTTTGTGCTTTGTTAAGGGGTTTATTTGACCTGAAGCTTTCAAAGTTGTGATTAGAACCTAGAACAATTATGAGCATTTTGCCCTGATAAAAAAAACCTTGTTTGTATGATTATTCCTTCCTGATCCTTATTGGCTTAACAAGTACCAGAACCATCTATTACATATGAATTAATATATTAGAAAATGAAAGGTTGAATACTTTAAGCTCCATGGATGGAATTTCTGTTGAACCAATAACTACAATAGTTGATACTGCTTATCAAGATGGTGATGAGCTCCGGTTTAGTTGTTCAGATATTGATACTTTAAATATGGCTAATTTGGCTATGATAAGCTACAAATGTATTGTAATCTACATTGTTATTGAGAAAAGAGATATAGATAATTTGCGGGTTCCATCCCTTCAATCCTCAAATTTTTCTATCCAGTGGTACTTTTTGGTCCTTGTTTTTATCAATCTATGTTTGATTTTTTGCAGCGTCTAAAGGAACCTGTGGGCACAGCAATACAGAATAACTCTTGTGAGCAAGTCCATCTTCAAACGAATAGTTCAGATGCTTGCTCAGATAGGCACTGGAGAAATGCTGTACTGGACAGCATGTATCAGTCTTTAGGTGATGATGAAGGTGGTGTACAAGTGTGCATCCGAGAAGCAATTGTACATTTTCGAGACATTGATCATACCACAAGAGTTAAGGTTTGTATTTATTGGCTTATAGCCGAAGTGTTCTGCCGATGATAGTTGATTTACAGGCTTATAGCCATTCCTTCGTATTTATTGGTTCAGTTTGATTTTTAAATTTTCTGTTATCATTTTCATTTTGTGGTTGTTTTGCAGGAATCTGGTGATCATGATGCGGATAGGCATCAATGTTTTTTTCCTACGCAGTCTATCTTGAATGGACCTCATTGTGCAGCCAATGGGCATGCTGGTGTTATATTGAATGGATCTTCAAATAAAACAAACTATCCTACAGTTACTGCAATGTGTCAGCATGCTTTTTTTAATGTTTTAGTTTCAGAAAATTTTGCTTCATTGTGCAAACTGCTGTTGGAAAATTTTCAAGGAATCAAGGCTGACAGCATTTTCGACCTTAATCTCATAAACTCAAGGATGAAAAAGGGGGATTATGAACATTCGCCTATGCTATTCTCACATGATATGCAACAGGCAAGTTGGGTAGTCTTATGTTAAGTGTAGTGGTCCTGATATCTATTATTAATAGTAATTAATTGGATGGCTAGATTTTGCTTAGTATCATGGTGTAGATGTGATAACTATGTAATGTCAAGTTTAAATGTTTCAAGTATTGCGTTAATGATTCCAAAGCATGTTTGTGAACTTTGGAAAACTTGAAAAGTAAATCTACTTTATATGGTTATCATATTGGAATTGATTATGATATTTATTGTCAGAATGCTCTCATTAACTGGCTTCAGTTGAAGGAATTGTTTCAATCATGAAAGTCTTAAAGTCTGAAATGTCTTATCATATTCTACCTTCTTTGTTTTAGATACTGCTAGACGTGTGGTTCAAGTTCTCTGGCTAATCTGATTGCATTGTTTGACATTGGCTAATCTACATATGTATTACAAGGAATTCTAGGCTCGGGCCATAATTATAGTCATGTAAAATACCTTGAAGGTGATCTGTTTTTTTGTCTCATTTTATAATATTCCAAACCTGTATATTTTTCCAGATATGGAGAAAGCTTCAAGGGATTGGTACTAACTTGATTTCTCTTGCAAAAAGCCTCTCAGACATGTCAAGGAGTTCTTACAAAGAACAGGTTAGATGATTCAGTTGAAGCGATGTCTGGTCCAAGTACCTGAGGATTTAGTTTAATGAAATCTATTGGTTCTAGAATATGTTCACTCTGTGGATAGGGTTATAAGCCTGATCTCACAACGAATTATCTTATCTGTCATCCCAGGTGGGAGGTTCAGTCCGAAATACATTTGAAGGTGGAAAAGATGAGGTACAAGAGTTTTCTAGTTTTAACATAGAACTGTGTTTGATTGGATTGCTGATGTCTGGTGAAATGCCTGATTGTATGTGCATTTGGTACCTTGGAAATATATAAATTCAGGAATTTTTTTCTTCAGAAAACTCCTAATGTTTGTATTAAAGTTCTACTAATTGCATGCATAAAACTCTTTGTGAATATCTAGCATTCTATATTCTGGAAGAAAAATACTCTAAAAGTAGTTGTTTCTTTTTTTTTCTTTTTTTTTTCAACTAATGCATATGTGCCTTTTGCATTATTGTAACTTTTAGGCATTTAGCCTGTCGGCATATTGGAATTTTGATGTCATTTTGAAGATGTAAAAATGGTGAATTGTCTAATTATTATAATGAGATTGGGTCACCTGACAGTGAGAATTCTGAAATCAATTTTGGTAGTTTGGGTCATTATCAATCTAACTAATGTCCAGCCAAAAAAAAATATAATAACTAAGTGTATTTCATTTATCACGCTTACGATTCTATTTTAAGGAATTGATCAGCTGGTTTAAAGGGGTACTAACTTGTGTCACTTTAAAACAGTTGTACGCCTGCGAATCTGACTTCCACACTAAACTGGAGCAAACAGAGGATTGTGCTGTGCACGGTGTATACACTTGCATGCATTGTGGAGGCAAGGCAGATGGGAAGGATTGTCTAGTATGTGATTCATGTGAGGACATGTACCATATCTCCTGCATTCAGCCTGCTGTCAAAGAGATTCCTCTAAAAAGTTGGTATTGTTTGAGTTGCACTGCTAGTGGTGTTCGATCATCCCATGAGAACTGTGTTGTGTGTGAGAAGTTGAATGTGCCCAAGACTCTAGTTGATGGAGTTGGAGGTGAAAGTGTTTCTACAGATGAAGAAACAGTCAATGAGATGGGGGAGAATTCAAATTTTAATACAGATGATGGAATCCAACCTTCGGAAGAGAGCAAAGACTTGAACATCTGCAAAACTTGTGGAATGGAGGTAGAAAAAAGTGATAAGTTGAAGATATGTGGTCATCCATACTGCCCAAAGAAATACTACCATGAGAGGTGTCTGACAACTAAGGAGTTAAAATCATATGGTCCCTGTTGGTACTGCTATTCTTGTCTGTGCAGAGCTTGTCTCACTGATCGAGACGATGATATAATTGTTCTTTGTGATGGCTGTGATCATGGGTACCACATCTATTGTATGGACCCACCACGCATTGGCATTCCAAGCGGGAAATGGTTTTGCAGAAAATGTCGTGCAGCTATTCAGGTCATACGCAGGACAAGAAAGGGTTATGATAAGAATGAAAAGAAACAGAAAAAGAACGGTGAAGGATCAAGGAAGTTGAATGAAAAACGAGCTGACAGGGAATCAGGACAAGGTAGAGGGGGAATGGAGTTGCTTGTATATGCAGTCAAGACTCTAGATCATGAAGAAGATATGATGAGTAAAAAAGAATGAGACAGTTTTCAGGACTGACATGTGTTCTGTGAGTAACAATTTTGATTTACTAGGCATGTCGCCCAAGGCTAAGAATTCTGTTTGTCTGCGTTGTTTAGAGGCGACATTTTCGTAGGTTGTTAACTCTGATAGATTATGCTGACTTTTGGATGCTTAACTTAGCAAAAGACGTGATTCTAAAGGCTGTATATGTAGTTTGGTCCTTGCTAAAGTGCACAATTTGAGAAAGCAATACAGAAGTTTGGTAAAATGGCCATTTTAACAGGTCACCATTGAACATACTGGTGGTTTGTGTTTTGTAAGTATTTACTTTTGAAGGGTATCAGAAAGTAACTCCACACTTCTGTTGTAAAACGATGAAAGTTTATCAAGTTTAAACAGTTTACATAACATGTTAAGTTTCTTACATCTTCCATGTCTTGTGTTTTTACATGCTTTGATAAGGTTGTTTGTTATTTTAGGCTTATTTATACCAACATCCCTTGAAACTACGGTCAAACCCCTTGAAACTACGGTCAAATCTTGCTTTGCCTCCCCCAAAACTTAACTATGATGATGTGGTATGGATATTTTTGTAATTTCATACACATGGATGGCCAGTGGAGTTCACGTCCACATAGATAAAAATATAATTAGATGAGAGAAAAAAAAAAGATAATTAAAATAATATAATAAAAAAACCACTCAAAATATATTTGGAAATCAAGGATCGGTCCAAGGATGTGATTAATAGCGGAGGTGAAAAGGAGGTGGAGTCGGTGTTGTACTGGAACCCGGCGGTGAATGAGGCAGCTGTGGTGGCTAAGCCGGACAAGTTCTATGGGGTGACGCCTTGTGCTTTCGTGTGCTTGAAGAGTGCAGGGTTGGATTGCAGTGTTCCTAGCGAGGATATAATGGAGTTCTATAAGGAAAGGTTGCCTCATTTCTTGGCGCCAAAGACGGTGGTGTTCACGGAGGCGCTGCCCAAGACGTCCACCGTACAGAAGTTCGTGTTACGAGAAATTGCCATGTCTATGGGTTGAGTAGACTTTAGACTTGATGAGCTATGTTGTTTTTTTATTATTAATTTTTTATAGCAGCTCTGTTGTTAACAACTACATATTTTTATGTTTCGCAATTGTTAAAAGTAAGCAATAAATTATATTTAATTTAACAAGATACAACATTATATAGAAATTAGATTGTCCTGCCAGGGACTTTCACGCATGAACCAAAACTAAGCTGAAGTCCACTTTTCCTCTACTATATACACAATTCAACAAGAGTTTTCATGTCTTCTCACCAACTGCGTAACGGTTTCTTGTCGGGCTTAAGCCTGATGAATGGAGTTGTTTTCGCCTTTTAACCAGTTGCATCGCTGTATGTCTGTCATCTCGAGCCTCCTCAGAATCAGGCTGTACATACAGTTTAAATTCAACTTATATTCTTAACACGAAACAAAATATATAGAGATTTGTACCATATATTTACATTCTGTGTGTAAATATTAGCTTAGCACGTCATGTTGCAAATGCCAGACTCCAATGGAGGTCAGAGCTCCAACACAATGCAATGACAAAACAGTGGAAGAAAAACTCATCTCTCTAATATACATAAATACAATCATCCACTTCAATCCTACTTGAGGGAATAATAATTATATTAACGACGAAGATGTTGCAGTTCTTAGTAGCTTAGCACATTATATTGCAGTGCCAGACTTAAAGGCCTGTTGCCCAAACACAATGCGATCACAAAACAGTGGAAGAATCTTTGAGAACTACAGAACATAATATCTTGAAACCATACCTTGATGGCTAATGCACTGTCGAAGCTTTCAATAGCACTATCAGGCTCCCCAAAGTTTAACTGTGCTCTGCCAAGGGTAACCCACGCCTGAACATATCCAGTTTGTGAGAAACAATTCACACTAATAAAAATGCTAATTGTACCAAGGATTATCACCAGAAAAAAAATTCTAACAAGCATATAAATGAAACGTCCATCTTCTTCAAATTTTCCTAAAGGAAAGAGCACCATCATAACTTGGAACTCGCACATGAAAGCCTATTGAGGTGAGAACCAGGTCAGAGAATACAATACTGACGTACCTCATCCCATGAAGGCTTCAACTCAGTGGCTCCTGTCAATTTTTATCCACATATTAAGTACAACAAAGCACTCACAATTGAACCAGAGAAATCAAAATAAGCACAAATTAAACGTAAAAGAGAGCTCGAAGAGTAAATGTGTGTGAAGGTGTGGACATAATATAGTGAATGAGGACCAAAGAGTGCAGAAAACTAAAGGGTTTCACAAAGTTTTGGAACCAAATAATGAACTTGGAAACAAAATATATCATGGTGGCCTGAGAAGACCAAAAAAGCCAATATCATGCATATGCACCTAGTAAGAAAAAAGGCATACATATATGCAAATACACACACACAAGCAAAACCCAAAGGGAGATAGAATTGAAACGCACGAGTTGCTGCCTTTACTGCATTCCATGCATCTCCAATTTCAAGCAAAACTTGTGCCTTCTGTTCATGTAAAACAGCATTTTCGGGCATCAACATAAGAGCGGCCTCCCATTTTCCCAATGCTTCACGGTACTTTCCACCCTTCAAAGATCGGTTGATGTGAGAAAGATGCCATAAGTCATCCAGATCAGGAATCAGCAGACATTACTTTTCATCATGATCATAATTATAATTACTCGTACATAACGAGAAGATTCCCCCCTTTTTTTGGCTGTATTACTATTTCTTGGAGGCAATTGGCATGAGTTCCTCCAGCAAGAAATTATTGACAAAAGTATAATATGGCACGCCACTTCCACAATATTATTATTATTATCTGCTAGTAAGAAGCTATTAACTAAAAAAAAAATCACGGTTTACCAATTGGGGCAGCTATAACTTTCCATTTCTCAGCTTTTGTTTCATAAATTTTTACTTCAACAACTGGGCAGCTACAAAACCTCACCACAATTCTAATAACCACAGTTCTTGGGGCAGCCTAAATTGGGAAACTGGGTTCCACCCATTATCACGTCAAAAACAAATTAACACATTCAAAAACCCCATAATCTACCTTCAAATCAAAAGATAACAAAACTTGGGTATTTCCGTTTTCCTTCTGCAATAACATAATAGCAAAATCAAAAATCAAAAGAACAAATTTAGGGTATTTATTACCTCGGCCAGCTTAGTTCCCTCGGCTTGAAAGGAGTGGAAGAGTTTTGCAGCGTCTGAAGAATCTGATGGCTCGCTCTGAGCGTCGAGTGGCTCATGGTGTTCTTCCTGGTTGAGCTCTGTATGGTTTTGATTCTTATTGGGATCGTTTGATGGGACTTCTTGATTGTTGTGTTGGTCGTTTTGCTGCTCAAAAGGGAGATTTGGGTACTTTGATATGATGCCCAAAGGCCGCTTCTTGTTGTTCTTCCAAGCTATTTTCATCTCTCTCACTGGGACAGAAATCAGTTGCAGGCTACAACTTGTACATTGATTTCGGGTTCGCCCGAATCTAATTGACATGGTTTGAACCCGGACCCAAGATTAAACCCCAGTATAGGATATGGGCCCTCTTCTCTTTTTGGGTCTGCTAGGCCCCTCTAATATTTTAGCCCGGCCAGTCATAATCACAAACCCTTTTTCTTTCTTGAAATAAAAGATAAAGCCCAAGAAATGGAAACAAAACCCACACCCCCAGCCCCATTCTAGTATGGTGAGATTTTCCCCCCAATGTTAAAGAAGTCCCGAGTTGGAATATCGCCAGTTGGTTAAGGCAGTGAGTCTGCCTTCTTGCACTCAAGTTTGAATTTCTCTTCTCATAAATTAGATTAATTTAGAGTAATTTAAACTATTGCATATGTAAAATATATATATATATATATATATTCAAGCTTTCACCCATTGTTTGTATCAAAATTGTTACATGTTTACAAGTTTTCTTTAAAAGGTTAGGTTGTTGTCATCATATACATGCCAGCTAAGAAGTCAAGTTTGAAACATCAACTTCAAGCTTCTAGAGATTTTATCTTCATTTGTTGTTGGGTCAATTAGCGTCAAAAGCAGCCAGAATTACCCACCAAAGGTGAGAGGGTGGATGACCGTTTTGATGTCATCAAAAGACAAAAGCAAAATACAAGGACTGTTAAAAACTGAAAACCAGAGAGACAGAGAGTGACACCTTTCCCTCACTTACCACTTAAATACGTGTAAATATGGCACGTACCAAAAATACATGTGGAAATAAAATATTGTTGTATTGTAATTAACGATTATACTCAAGGGCGGAACTATTCTATGACTAGGGTGGACTCTAGCTAGTGCAAAATTTGGGAAAAATGAAATTTATTACTAATTTTTAGGCATTACACCTCATTTTACAAAAATTAGTCTAACTCGTTCAAGCAAAAACTAGCATATCATATCCAAGCAGATCTCCAATCCGCTATATTTCATAGATTTCAATGGAATTTTTATTTGGATCTTTACTCGTATAAGAAATAATAACCCACACTCACAAAAATTTACGGTTCCGGCCTTGATTATGCTTCTACAGTCTACGGAGCCATGTATATAATACGTGTCACAAGGCTGATTGGTTCCATTAGATTGCTTAATGCCCAAGGCTCCATTTGATTGGCTGAAGCTTAACACATTTACAAAAATGCCATCGTTCACAACACAGCCAAAATCCCAACTTATATAAAAAGAGACTTGGGCCTTTCTTTTGGCCCTCCCTTTTACCCAACACTTAAAAAAGAAGAGGGTGGTGGTGAGAATTGAGAAATCAAACAAGAGGCAGCAGAAAAATGGTGGCCAAGAAGATGACAAAGAAGACAGAGCAGCAGCTGGTGGGTGAGGAAGTGATCAGAGGCAAGCCCAAGGGAGAGGCTAATTGGTTCAAACCAAAGAAGGGTAGTGTTTTTCCTGCAAGGAGAAAGTTGGTGAAGACTATGGCTTTTGATACCATAGTGAAATGGGTGGGCTCTGTTTTCTACCATGGAGCCTCAGCCGCCACCACCATGACCAAAATCCCCTGCCTTTCACAACCCAGAATGCCAAATTCCAAGAAATGCAAGCAGATAGTTCCATTGTGAATTGGAAAGTCGAATCAAATCCATGCCTTGAAAGAAGTCACCTTTTCAGTTCTGTTAATTTATCACCCCACACCCACATACTCACTTTCTTCTATTTTGTTTTTGCCCTTTTATTGTTTTCTCTTTTGGATTCATCAGGATGCAGGATCCATCAATTTGTGTATCTTTTTTAGCTTTTTTTAGTATATGTCAAGGTTTGAAAGGGAGAGGGGAGGTGCTATTGGGGTTTTAACGTGAAACCACTTATCTGAAGACAAATACTCTTACCACTGAGCTATGTACACACGTTCGCGTGTATCTTTTTGCTCTTAGTTTTGATGAATTATGAAGCACTTTGAGTTTTTTGCTTTAAGATTTCTCTATTGTTCACATAGTTTGATATGACAAAATGATCATGAGTTTGTATGGAAGAGGACTGAAACCCATGATATGCATGCCCCATAGCTGATCATAGCCAAAACAGTTGAAGACCCCACAAACCTCATATTTCAAAGAGAGGAGAATGATTAATCAATATCTGATTCTTAATTCTCATGTCAAAAAAGTCTCTTAAAAAAATTATTATGCCAAAAGGAACTAACGGCATAAAACAAAAAGAAGGAAACTTAAAAGCTTTGGTTTAATTTAATTTATCATCTTAAAACAAGTAATTATCAGCTCTTTTCATGCACGAAAGGTACTTTACCATAACCCACCCTTCCAAATGTCTTAATTATAGTATCAGAAATGGAAAAAATAAATGTTCAAGTGGGTCCTTCATTACGGACAAGGAATTAGAATATTCTCATTCTCATTAGGCACATGCAGGACTGCAACAAAGCACTATAGTTAGAAGAGTGGCCTGAAGACGCCAAAGCTTTACAACAATTTCTCTTCTCTTTCTGTTGTCCCAGTTCTTTCATTTTGATTGTTGTTGGAGCTTGGTACTGTGTTTTTGTTTTTATTGGAAAATAAAACAGTGCAAACAACTGAATTTATGGCATGTTTATTTCCAATTCATTGATTTAGGTGTTTATGTAATTCTTTTGGTTCAATAGAGATTACTTTTGCGCCGCGGCAATGGAATGAAATGGCACACTTGATTGTGTTGACGCAGAAAAATGGTTCGGCACTTTCCCGCGCAACTTAGAGATGTTGGGTTTTCGGTATGCTCTGGGCCTCGGTAGGGCGTTCGATCTGCAAGATAACAAATGCTCGGTAAGACCTAGGGCACTGGTGTGGTACCGGCCGAAGGCTCTCGGATACTTACGTAAGTACGGAGTTGGTAAGATTGAACTACATATCGATATGCAGTATGCCGTAAGTTCTGATTGATTACCTCCAAGCTGGGATAGTTGTCCTCTTTTATAGGCCTTGGGAGGTGTGCAATTTGTTTAGAGTTTCGATGTAGGACTGTGGACATCAATTGTGGGACTGCCACGTGTTTCAGGAGGTGAGGTTGCCCTAATCGAGCGATCAGTAGCTATGATACCGAAGCTAGGTGCCGAAGGCTCCCCATAGCTTCATTTTCGTTCGCGTGTCCGATGTTCATTGACTGTTCATTTTGGTATAAACAGGAGTCCCCCAAGTCCTCTTGCGAGAGTTCTCGGAAGGGGATTTGAAGTTGTCTTCGGAAGGAAATGTTGTCCTACCGTTTGGTAATCCAGCTGGCAGAGGGGCTCAATTTTGGCTCTTTCGTCCTCGTTTATTCGGAGGCTGATGTCGGGGAAGTCAGAAGGTCGTGTCAAGCGAAAGGGTGAAGGGACATCTGAGCGCCTCGTCTTTCGTGCCTCGCGTGCCGTCAGTCCCCCATAGGATGAGCTACACGTGGCTAGAGCAGTCACGGTGCGCGGCGCATTAATGCGCCGTTTGGTTTTTTGAGGTGTACCGTTGCGACTCCTCTCCCTATAAATAGGGATGACCCCGGAGGCAAAATCACTTTGCATTTTGTGAGAAGCGAGAGCTCTGTTGAGGCGATTTCTGACGAGGGCTTCCGACATTCAAGGAGGGCTAACGGTAATCAGGAGATTTCCGGCGTTGCGAACGGCTAGAAAAGCGATTTCTGACGAGACAATCCGGAGCGCAGTTCGTGCTTCTTGTCCAGAATTTGATTTAAGGTACCGTTCGGTAACTTCAACTTACTCCCTTATTTATCTTCAGTTACGTCCTTCCTTGGTTTGAACTAGACTGACAATAGGGTTCTATTCGGTAGTCTAGTCCCCATAGGTAGGAGTGTAGGAACGGTAGGATAGCATCCGGCAGGAGCGTAGGAACGGTAGGATAGCATCCGGCAGGAGCCTTAGTTTCCTTTTTCCCTATTTTTGTAGATGTCTGATAGTGAGTCATTCTCCGAGCGTGAGCCCAATGCGTTCGATGAAGAGTCATCAAACGGTCTCTTTGACTCTGATGGTGAAGCGACAGGGGCCGATGCTGGGGGCGGAAGTGATACCGATGTTGAGATACTCGGTGAAGAGCCCAACTCCGTTCCTACACACGGTATCGGAAAGGGGTTGATGACTGCTCCGGTACCATTGGCTATTGTTTATAGCGACGGTCGCCACGTTAGTCAAGCCCTGCCGGGAGAGGCGAGCGATAGTCGCCAATCAGAGGCCTCCACTTCCTGCCGAGGGGAGTCAACTGCCGAACCATCCCTTCGGCCGAGGGTTTCGATAGTCTTCCCCAGCAATCCCAGGGTGCCGATGGGAATTCTGAAGGAGATTATCTTCGGCGTAGACTACTTAGAGCCCAATAGGATTACTGAGAGGGAGATTGCAAAGCTTCGTGCTGAATATTTCATACCAGATTTGGTAGGGATGAGGATCCCAAACCCGACCGAATCTCTAAGCAGTCCGAAGAACGGCGAAGTTGTCTTTTTCACGTACGTACTTCTGCAAAGAGTGAGGCTCCCTCTGCAGCCCGCCGTTCAGAGGATCCTGGCGCAGATAGGCTATGCTCCAGGCCAGTTCAACCCCAACTTCTGGGTAGCGCTAATGGGCATGGTTACAGCCTTCGGCATGGCTGGCGAGGGAGAGCCTTCGTACGAACAGTTCTCCCATCTGTACAGCGTCACGAAGTCGAAGTCTGCCGATCACGGGGGTTGGGTTTAGGCTAACTGTAGGAAGGCTACCGAGCGTGGCTATTTTGTCAGCGCCGTGCCGACCTCTCAGAAGACGTGGAGGAAACGGCGGGTGCTTCTGTCCGGTGATTGGGAGTCGCCCTCGGGACATCCTGTCCATTTCCGTATTCCCACTACCTTCCAAATTGCCGGTAGGCCATCCTATCGTTCGGTAGGCCTCCTAGAGTGTGTTTTTCTTCAGGAATGTTAATTTCGTTTCCCCTTTTTGTGCAAGTAAATTGAAGCAGCCGAACGCTACACAAGCGGAGATCCGGCAGATCGAGAGGGTGAGGCTGAAGGTCCCTGCCGTGGAGAGAATTTATCCGAAGTTTCTCTTCAC